CAATGTGTTATTTTCTCAAAATATATAATGGAATGTGAAATATGGTATCATTTACTTTTTCCAAAGTCGGCTAAACTCAAGAAATATTTATCCAAGACTTACTATATCGCTAGAGATTGAGTTTAGTACTTGAATCCACAGGTATTCGCATTTCAGGGAACAAGTCAGTTCTATACAAATCATTGCTATATGTGTTTGGGGAGGTGATGGAGTATGGATCCACCAATTAATTTTATCATCATGAAAAATGGGAAAACAAGAAATCCTCATGGCTCAGTTTGGTTTTAAATGACCTAATTATAATTCATTGTACATTCATACCTTAAGATGTGATTTTTGGTTTAAAAATCCATTGTATTTATTTCTCTTCGTAAGCACAAATAACATATTGAAAACCAATGAGGGACTTTTGCATGTTATTTTAGAAGGAAAGCAAGAACTAAATCACAGCCCTAGCCGGTTTGGCTCAGTGGATAGAGGTCAGCCTGCGGGCCAAAGGTTCAGTTCTGGTCAAGGGCATGTACCTCGGTTGCAGGCTCCTCCCGGGCCTTGTTTCTCCCTGTCTCTTCCTCTCTCTTCCACTCTCTCTAAAAATCCAAAACCAATGGAAACATATTGTCAGGTGAGGATTAAAAAAGAAAAAAAAAGAAAAAGAAGAAGTAAATCACAGTTATTTTCACAGAATGAATCTTGAGTTTTTTGTTATTGCTGTTCCCCTTTTGAATTGTTTTATTCCAAGTATATGTAAAATAAGGAGTGGAGTCTTCTGGTGTCAACCCTGCTGCCACCCCCAGTTCCACCTCTGGCTGGGTAAATAGCTGGACTTTGGAGTCAGATAAACCAGGGTGGGTCCAGCTCTATCACCTCCCAGCTGAGTAGCCCTGGGCAAGTTGCCCACCCTCTCTAGGCCTCTCATCTTAAAAATGGGGGTAACAATGGGACCCAGCTCCTAAGATTGTTGTGAGGATTCAATAAGATCATGCAATTAATTTCTTTGGTACAATGCCTGGCATATGGTACATACTCAGCCAATATTAGCTAATGCTAATATTTATTTTAATATTAATAGTCACGGCTGATAATCTTATTATTGTATTTTGTCTAAGGCAATGTTTATGTATGGGCTATTTGGAAAGGAAAATATCTGCTCCCTTTGATGTTCTACTTCGCAATCGTTTTGAAAATTAAGATCAGAGGAAATCTCTAGCTTTCTCTGATTTCAACACTGAAAAACTGGAGGTAATTAAGTGTTCCCTGCAAAGATTTTTAATTCCAGTATTCAACACCAGAAAAAAACACACAACCCTATTTACTTCCCAGATACAGATGCAAACAGAAATAAAACACAGCTGCGGTTATTGCTCCATGGGCACCATCTCTACTTGGTACCAAAAGAGATAATAATCTTGCAGTATAATTTTATAAGGAGGTAACAAAATCAATTACATTATCTCAAGTGTAAACACTGCAGCCCTTATCCTCTTTCTGGTTAAGATAGGCTGTAACTGTGGCAGCTGCTCACCCACTATTATAGATTATTTTAGCTGACAGAAAACAGGGCTAATTAATGAAGATTTGACTAGGAGTATAGATGGCCTTACAGCTTGATATTTAAGAATGATACCAGCAATGCAATTGTTGATTGAGGAGTCAACACTAAGCAACCATGGACACAAGTGAAGGCAGTGATGGACAAATCATTTGGTTCACTTTTCATTATTAAATGGTAAAGTCTTCAGAAAAAAAGCATGAACAAATCTGTAAACCCTTTGGGTTCACTGAAATTCCACATGATCTTATAAGATATTATGAACCATACAAATCAAAGGCTAAGAAGAAATATAGGAGGCTGTAGGGATATGTTGTTTCCATAATTGTAATGACTGGGGGGCTACTAGGGTCTTTTCCAAGATCTGGTGATGAAAGTAGAGAATATATTTTGTTGTTATAGAATTTAAATTTCATATAAAAGATTAATTTATAGACATTCAAGCCTATAACATAAAATTAGTATTTTGAACCTCTGTAACCAAGTTCATGAGATTTCAGTCAGACAGGTCTGCTTTATGAACTCAACACTGACACAAGTTGACTGCCTTGGACAAGTTACTTAACTAAATCTTTCAGAGCAATCATAAATACCAGGTAGCATCATTGTGAGTATTAAATAAAATAACCGCTAAAATTGTGCTTAGCACAAGTAAACACTTGAGGATAAATAAGAGGATTCCTGTGTTTCTTTTCTCATTCTCCTTTAAATTTTTCACATGTTTATGTTTCTTTTCTATCAGAAATAAGATATTTATTTTAGCTTGATCCAGTGACTCTGTAGTGTTTATTCCAGTTAGATACCGTGTATGGATTATTCTGGTTTCTGTACATCTTAAGTTTAACATTCATTTTTAACATTAACACTCTGTCCAAAGGGAAAGTCATTTGGAGTAACCCTTGTTTTCCTTTGCTATGCTAAGAACCTTGGCAGAGTTAATCATAAGTCCATTTAATCAATAGAAAATACCTAAACGCTTTATGAATTCACAAACAGCAATGAGATGATATAATTTCTTAATTGTTTTTCCTTGTCTCATTTCCTCTAAAAGTTTTTCATTGCCTTGCATTTTAAATAAAGCAAGACCTGGGTTATGATCAGCATCTCATAAGTGTTTGTTGAATGGAGAGGGAAGGAAATAAATGTTTTAATTGTGAGTAGAAACAACAGCTCCTTAATGGAGGCCTAACAGACTTCAATTAACTTATGCAGGTTAAAGAACATTCTGCCACCTGCTTCCTCTATTTATATGAAAACTACTTGGTTTAATTTCTTGGTACAGGAGAAGGGTTATTTATGTGAATTACATTGTAAAGAAAGGCTGAACAATTTATAGCATCTTTTTCCTATAGTTAGGGTTTTAATGTTCGAGGTTCTCTAGAGATGAAATGGCTCAACCTCCTTAATTTATAGAGGAGGAAACCAAGCCCTGAGAGTTTCAATGGCTTCATCTTTTGGTGCTGAGCTGCAGGAGAAATCCATTTCTTCCTCTCCTTTTCATTTGAGTTTGCTCCTTGCCCGAACATGTGCTTTACTAAAACTTCCATCTATCCCAGGGGCACTTATATATCTACACAAAATATGCAGGAAGATAAAGACCAAGGGTGAGAACATCAACTCTTGGATCAGAGAGAACTGCTTTCAGATCCCTTCTCCTACATGACCTGGACCAGATTGTCCAAAGTATTTGTCATGTTACCCTAATCTGTTAATGCCTTGGTTTCCTTATCTCTAAAGGAAGGATGACAAACTCTTGTCATCTTCAAAAGAAATAACCCTTCACAGATTTATTATTGGGCTCAATGTAATAATGCATATAAAGTATTATCACTAAACCAGGTGATGCGAAGTAATAGTATGTTATGACAATATAAATTCGAAGTGGGAGAGAATGTTGAAGGGGAGCAATGTAGACAAGGAGAGTCCTATATTTTGCTAATAGTAAGCCACAGATTTGGCTCCAGGCTTCCTTTCAGCCAACACAGAAAAAGAAACGTGATTGATCACATAGCTCAGATATAACTTAGTTATGTTAATTATATATATCCGGCCAAACCAGAATCACTCTCTTCTACTCCCAGCCAAGATCTCTTTCTATCAGTCACAGCAGTATAGGGTTTTACAGACTTGTTGAGTTACATTAAATGCTGCTCAAGTTTCCAGAGACTATCTCTTAGCATTTCCTGTAGAGCCCTCCAGCTTTTTGATAGCACCTGCAGGACAAAACCCAGCTGTCTTTCACTCAGCACATGCCATTCTCAAGAAGGCCAAGTCCTTGGAGGAGGCCAGGGATGAATTTGAGGTTATGTAGCTTCTTTCCCTCACCCACGTCAGACATTCCTTAGTCATGGGGACCAGCCTTATTATCTTTGCATATTCACTCATTGCATCTCACAGAGAGTGAATGATGGGTGCTCAGTAAATGTTTGTGATTTGCAGTAATGGATGAGCATGTGTGAAGGAGTTACAGGTATGAGAGCCCTCCTCTTTTAGGTCCTGGTTGTAACAGAGAGGTTATTTCAGGCAAGACAGATTTTTCATCCAACTCTGATGACAATGCTCAAGGCTTAAATCTCAGTATTTTAAATGAAAAATGAAATCGATATGAACTCCTCTTCCCTGGGTACTGATGTGCAGCGACTTGTGTTATTAAATGTCGGAATGAAATAGAACCAGTTTTCTTAAAAAAGGAGAGAAGTCTAATTCTAGCACCTCTTGTATCTTTCGGAAAAGGTATATTAATCAATTACCTTTCAAGACGTGTACATCAGTATAACTCATGTAATGGCCAAAACCTATCTCAAAAAGTTAGTATACACCTTGCCTCGAATGTCACCTTCAGAGGAAATGTAGAAAGGTTATGCTTTCACAAAATTATTTTAAAATCTACATATTGAAATTATTATAAAATGACCTACATTTTCTTTAGAAAAATAACCCTCAGACAGACAATATGCGGTGAAGGCCTGGGGGTTGGAGTGGAGGGGAGCAAGGTAGAGGGGCTCAATGGGGAGGAAAGGAGGACATTTGTAATACTTTTGACAATAAAGTTTAAAAATAATATTTCAAGTTGCTTATTTCTTATGTTCTTTTGTTTTTACCATGTATTTGAGTTAATCAGTTCCCCTTTTTTTTGAATAATCATTCCCAAACCAATCTCCCCTTGAGTCTCTCTTCACTTATCCAGGTTAATAAAATTGGATGAGATATATGTTAACCTTTCTCAGTGTGGTATTTCTTTATCTTGCTAGTTTCCAGTTAGGTATCCAACTCCAGTTTACTTTATAAGCTAGGAGTCCTTTCATGTTAAACAGGAAGATAAATTGAGAGGTTGTTTGAGATACCTGGGGCTTACATAGAGTTGTTTCTATATGCTGTATCTAAACCTGGATTTAAATTGCAAATAGGATTTTATTTGACCAAAATCATAAGTCCTTTTCTTCTTTCCCAGCCCCTTTGCTTTTACCCTGTCCGAAGCCAGCATGTCGCTGAAAACTGAGCCGATAGTAAATATATCTGCGCTGCAGAAAATCGCTGCTGACATGAGTAATTTGATAGAAAACCTGGACACGCGGGAGCTCCACTTTGAGGGAGAGGAGGTGGACTACGATGTGTCTCCCAGCGATCCCAAGACACAGGAAGGTAAAGACCGAGGGCCTGAGCCAAGAGAAGGGAGTTTATCAGGTGGCTTGGCAGAGCACAGATTTGAAATAACCAGCAAATGATTGATCTTCCTCGCTGATGTCATAACACTGGGCTAAGACTGTTTCGTTAACTGTTTTCTCATCGTTGCACATTACGATTTTTTTAAAAAAAATGCCTGCAAAAGGCAAGTTATGCTACTATCATGTATTCTTGCAATATCATTGTGTTCTTGCAATAACTTTATTTATTTATTTTTTAGTGTATATCCCTTTCTCTGCTATTTATAAGACTCAAGGATTTAAGGAGCCTAACGTACAGACGTACCTCTCTGGCTGTCCAATAAAAGCCCAAGTTCTGGAAGTGGAGCGCTTTACGTCTACAACAAGGGTCAGCGCCTTTATGGACTCAACTTGTATTAGTCAATGTGTACGAATGAACACCCTGACTTCCATTTTTCTTTCTCCCAGCTATGCCTGTGTTTTAGCTTTTTGCTTGTTTGTTTTGTTTTGTTTATCACTTCCAAGACCTCATCACCTCTGGAGGTTTTGCTTTCTTCCCATTTAGTCTTTAGTCTCATATGCCTCTTTCCCTATCCTGGAAAATACAGTAAAAAAAAAAAAGGCAGCCCTGACCGGTTTGGCTCAGTGGATGGAGCGTCGGCCTGCGGACTGGAGGGTCCCAGGTTCGATTCTGGTCAAGGGCATGTACCTCAGTTGCGGGCACATCCCCAGTGGGGGGTGTACAGGAGGCGGCTGATTGATGTTTCTGACTCTCTATCCCTATCCTTCCTCTCTGTAAAAAATCAATAAAATATATATATATTTTTTAAAGGCATTTAAGGCAATGTGGAAGTTTACTAGTAATAAATTGCAAAGTGCCTCTCCTAGTCTTCCTTACTCCACAGTTTTCTGTTCAATGTGGATTCCTGGGGCATAACCATTCCCCCTAGAATGCCAGGTAAGTGCAGCTTTCCTAGTGCTTGTTAAGTAAGAATAGAATGATGCTACCCAGCTCTTGAGAGAAAAACAACAACAAAAAAACCCAAAACAGGATACTGCAGTGGCTAGTGCCATTACCCAAAGTACGGCTGAGAGAATCCTGCTGGCAGATCCTGCCTCTCTGGCTTGTTCCTGGCACCTGTCCTTCGGGCCCCATGCACAAGTTTTCCCTTTGAGCGCTGTTTCCACCCACCTTGGTGTGCAGCCTTTCCTCTAGGCCAGTGGTCGGCAAACTCATTAGTCAACAGAGCCAAATATCAACAGTACAACAACTGAAATTTCTTTTGAGAGCCAAATTTTTTAAACTTAAACTATATAGGTAGGTACATTGTTATTAACTTAATTAGGGTACTCCTAAGGCTTAGGAAGAGCCACACTCAAGGGGCCAAAGAGCCGCATGTGGCTTGTGAGCCACAGTTTGCCGACCACAGCTAGGCCAAGCATGTCAAACTCACAGCCATTTAAATGAGGCATGTGGCCCGCTGGCCGTGAGTTTGACATGCTTTCTCTAGGCTCTTCCTATGAGTTGGGTCCATATCTCCCTGGTACACCACTGAGCACCACCACTCAGGAATGTCTCTAAGATGACATTTGCCTTCTTATTTGCCTACCAGCTTTTAAACTGAGAGGCAGCAATGTGGGGGTTAACTGCGGCCTCAGAGCCAGACTGCAGGGTTGAATTCCTTGGCTTTGTGACCTCTCATAAGTTACTTAACCTCTCAGTTTCTCAGAGTCCTCATCAGAATAATGCAGTGGTTCTCAACCTTCTGGCCCTTTAAATACAGTTCCTCATGTTGTGACCCCAACCATAAAATTATTTTCGTTGCTACTTCATAACTGTAATGTTACTACTGTTATGAATCGTAATGTAAATATCTGATATGCAGGATGGTCTTAGGTGACCCATGTGAAAGGGTCATTCGACCGCCAAAGGGGTCGTGACCCACAGGTTGAGAACCGCTGGAATAATGGGTATAATAGTGCCTATCTTCTAGGCTTGTTATGAAAATTTAATAATAATACACATAATATTATACAAGTATATTATATATTTTATTATATGAATATTGAAGCCACCAAACCACAGACTTCTCTCTTTGCATATACTCTTCTGTTAGTCAAGTGAGTTTGGCTGAGTTCTGTTTTGTTTTATTTCTTTTATTTTTCAATTACATTTGACATACAATATTATATTAGTTCTGGTGTACATCTCAGTGATTACACTATATATCTTACTAAGTTATCAACCACAATAAGTCTTGTGCCCATCTGAGGCCATACATAGTTATTAGAATATTGCTTGTATTCCCGTTGCTGTACTTTACATCCCCATGACTACCCTATAACATCCAATTTGTACTTCTTAATTCCTCCACCTCTTTACCTTAGTCTGTATGAGAAAGCTAAGGATTATCCATATACTACTTAGTGTTTCATTGACTAAGAAATATGAACTAAATTCTTGCAGATTGAATGTGATTCCAGGTAAATAAAATGATCCCTTTTCTGATGACTCAGTACATCCTCTGTGCCAGCTCATGGCTAAGCACTTCTCTTTTCACTCTTGTGACAACCCGATGAAACAGATGTTATCACCTGCCCTCCCAGGCTGGCAATCTTCCACCTGCCCCTCTAGCTCCTCCATCCACCTGCCCCAACCTTCTTTCTGCTTGTGTCCTCTTGGGGAACCCAGATAGGAGATTGAGGTCACCCAGGATGGCTGTGTCCCTTGACCAAAGGCCCCCATCTCCCCGCCAAAGCATCCCTCTTTCCACGGCTCTCTCCTTCCGTTCTAGCTCCTGGTCCTGCCAGTTGTCCTGCCACTTGTACCTTCAGGACCAGGGATGCCTTCACAAGTCCCAGGTGACTGTCCTGTCTTTATGGTTTCTTATCCCTGCAACATCTTCACTGGCAGGCAGTTCCTTTATTAAGACTTCTCAAATTATTCCAATTCCAAAGAATTCCAGTAATTCTGCTGGGATGTTGTCCCACACATGGTTGAGGCTTCACAGCTGGTAGGCTGCACCAAAGGATTTCAGTCCTTTCAAATTTTCAAAAAGGATGTGGCAGGCTGTTTCCATTGCACCTACTGCCTCACAATTGCTAAGAAATTTAGTGTACAAGACGCATAGGATTTATGGGTGATGGATAAAACTAGGCATTTGCAATGTTTGGTTAAGTATTCAGTTTTCTCAGACTGGGAAGTAGAATCCTAAGAAATGTGGCAGCTTGCTTAAATTGCATAATTTTTCTTATTTATTTGACTTAAATTGAGCATTTTTCACTTGAATGCAAAGTTTCTGGCCATTCTGAGTTTTCCTGCACCCTTTTTTTTGTGAAGCACGATGCAGGATGATGCAAGGTGAAAGGCAGCATATAATATTAGACCTAGAACTTGGTTCCTTTAACTTGTAGTTGTAGTAACCATCATGGATCCTAACTAGATGCAAAGCAAGTGCTACATTTGAATATTTACCAGTGATATGGCTGGATTTCAGATTTAAGAGCACAAGTTAAATAGACTCTCATGCTCATGTTTTATATACTACATCAATACAGAGTGGTCGTGCTTTAGAAATTTGAAATATATGCCAAATACCAGTAACGAATGGCCACAGGCCAGAAATCACTCATGGGATTGCTGACACCAGAGCCTGGATAAACTAGCAGAGTAGGAGACATTTACTCTCTCCCATCCCCAACATTTATGATGCCCAAGTCTCCTGGCAGGGCCCAGTGACCTCTAGGTGATCCAGAGTACCTATTCCCCTCCCCGCACCTCATCTTCTCCACCTTCCCCCCCGACCCCAAACACTATGGATCTTCAAGATCTTCTGTGCTTTATTTGTAAATATCCCTCCATCTCATGACACCTTCTACTATATCAAAATCCCTACCCCCCAGGGCTATTAGCTTCTGATTGAAATAATTCACTAGTCACCAAGATATATTTTTATTTCATAAGACATAATTTTGAATTTTTAAATGAAGATTTATTTTGGTTAAGTTGCTGGGGAAAATATTTTGAGTGTAGGAAGATCTTGTGCTTCTTTCCCTCTAATGCACCTATACCTTCCTGGTTGCCGGTGGGGCTTCAGGGCAGGGAGATATAGACAAGGAGGGACCTTGGAATGTATTTCAGAAGAAGGTATAATGCCATTTGTGAAGGGCAAAAGGTGGGCTAATGTAGTGCTCCTGGGATGCATTCCTCCAGCTTCCCTGTCACCCCTCCAACTGTCTGCTCACTGCTCATACTTTTAGACAATCCCTGATGGCTAAGTAGGCCCTTCACTCACTGTCTCCTTGACTTGGTTTCTTGTTTCAGGTGTGTGTGCATGTCTCTCTGTGTGTGTCTCTCTGTGTCTGTATTTGTGAGTTTGGAGCAATAGGATTTGTGGGAGTTTGTCTTTAGTGAGATTCTGAGTTTATCTTATGAATATTATAAGACGAACATTTAAGAGAATATTATTCTGTAATTAGTTGTTTTTTTAAACATTTTACTTAAGTACTTAAACAAAATAAGTAGGTTGGATTTAAGGGTACTTCCATGTTACTTATTAATTAGCTATTGTTCATTGAAAGATTTTGGAATTTTTGTTGTTATCTAAAATACCAATCCTTTTTATTTATCTCTGTAGGCACGGAGTATCAATCTTTACACTATTGAATTAACACATGGGGAATTTAAATGGCAAGTTAAAAGGAAATTCAAGCATTTTGAAGAATTTCACAGAGAACTGCTCAAGTACAAAGCCTTTATCCGAATCCCCATTCCCACCAGAAGGTAATTGTTTCAGAATTAATTATTAGGTTACCCAAATGTCCAAGTTGAGTGGAAAGAGTGTTTTATTCATATTATGAATTAACTGTCCATTGTTGGCAGATATGTTCTATTAAATGGAACCTACTATCTTCTAACAATAAGCCATCTCATGAAAGATATTAGAGAGCCGTGGCTCAAAGAATAATCTAATAAATGTGTGCACTGTGTTTGTGTGTGTGTGTTTCAGACACACATTTAGAAGACAGAATGTCAAAGAAGAGCCTCGAGAGATGCCAAGCTTGCCCCGTTCCTCTGAAAACACGATGAAAGAAGAACAGTTCCTTGGCAGGAGGGTAAGTCCTTCAAGTTCTTTAGTTCAGCACTTAATTTTGCAGCCGTGTAGCAACATGGATCTACTGTTGGGTGAGGAGGCTCTGGCTGCATTTTTCGCAGCCCCTGACCCATCACACAGGCTAGTGATTCCCCCCTGGGATGAGTTAGGCAACCCTCTGTCCCCCAAGCTGTTCTGACCCTGGGAGGTCACATTTTTCCAGAAGTGTCTCCTTTTGTAGGAGTGATGTTGTGAAGAAGCTGTCTTCCCTGCAGGGACCTCTATGGGCTCATTGTCAGTCAAGATTGAGCTCATTATTGAGAGTTTTGAGATCGTCTCTTTTTAAATCATACATTTGCATGCATTGGCTTCAGAATTTGAGTAGTTTGACCTAAATATATGTAGGGAATATATATGTGAGGAGAGGAGGATAGAGTTGCACATGTACATCAGTAGGACAGAAACCTTAGGCCTGCTCTACTTCAGTAACGTGGTCCTGCATAGGATAAATTAATTTTTTACTAGAAAATTCACAAATAAATGTTAGTTCTGTTTTGCCATCTGAAACTCTTATAGTCTGAAAGGGATGTTTGATTTACCCTTTGTAGTTGTCATCTTGTTTAAAATCTTGTTAGGAACCTGGAATACATACCTTCGAAGATACCTAGACAAATAAAATTCTATGGTTTTGGGTTACCATGTGTACATACGCAAGTGCAGTTGAAAACGATAAACTATGGCTTTAACAGTTGGTACTTCAGCATGCATCGTAGCCAGTACAGTTGACAACCCTCTCACCCCCTCTCACCTGAACATATTTGCAGTCAGAGTACAACTTATAAGTCTCTTTTTATTTAACTCCCCCCTTGGTTTCCCCCTGAAAATCTATTTAAAAATTGCAGTACATATTCCAGTAAATTCAGTGTTAGCATTGAGGAAATTCAAGTTTTTTTTATAAGATCAGCAAATGCTTTAAAACCACCTATTATGGGCAAGTCCTGTGCTAGTAATTATGGAAAATTAAAATAATATACTGCTGGGGCCTTGTCAGCAGCTTAGACCTAAGTATGTAAAAATTTAAGAAGAAGAGATTTAAATAACGCTTCAAGGGAACTATGGAAATAACTTCTTAATACTATTCAGGATTCCTTGTCTAGTGGTAACATTAATAAATCATTGAATAACTTACAGAAGGTGAGATGGACCAATGATCACATTATTGTCACTGTTTAAATTTTTCTGTAAGTGTGATGATGTTATTTCTTATCTACAGAAACAACTGGAAGATTACTTGACAAAGCTACTAAAAATGCCCATGTATAGAAACTATCATGCAACAGTAAGTACTATTTAGTGATTTAAATTTTGAACATATAAAATCATAAATTGTCAACTAAATTTTGGGTCATTTTATTAATGCAGGTATATGTATCCACTTTTGGATTATTCCTTGTGTTAAAATAAATGAAACAAACACAAAATTGATTTGACAGAAAGGATCTAGGTTATGGTGATGCTATTTTAAGATACGAAATATAACTGATATGTCTGTAACAGTGGATTTAAATGAACTTGAAATGCTGCTACAGGCTAGATTATCTAGAAATCAGCCTACTTTTCTCCTCAGGCTTCCAGAATAAAGTCCCGAAGCATTTCCAACCCTTAAGAGAAAACTTTAAGTAGGAAGTGATGAAAACAGTTGAGCAGACCTGAATGCCCAGAGATTTTACGGAGCATGCTGTGAATGCCATCTGATCGGCCCGTGATGCTTATGAAAGGCCTGTCTTTTCGTGTGAAAGTGAGAAGGCTGGGAAAAGCTAGGGAGAAAAGAAACTATTGGAAAATAAGAGATGGTAGGACTTGCAAGCAGCTGGGAGGCACACAGAGTGAGAGAGTGGGCTTACAGAGGATATCAGAAAACACTGAGCTCTGCTTAGAGGCCCTTGAAGGTGCTGTGTTTTTAAAGAGTTAGCCTTCACTTACCTGAAGGTCCAGGTAACTGAGAATTCACCAGATTATTAGATTTTGTGTCTGTGTTTGTATGAACTGTATTGCTGTGGGGTTGGATGAATGTATGTGGTGTCTGTGCAGAACTTGAGAGTAGGTGCCTTGACCGGGAATTGAATGAACTGAGACCCTTTGGTCCAAGAACCAACACTCTCACTACTGAGCAAACTGGCCAGGGCTCTTCCTATTCTATATGATCACACTGGATGAGTTAATATTTAGATAGCTTCCTTTTCCTCCAGGAGTTTTAATTCCTCTTTTCCTCCTTGAGGTTCTGAAAAGCAAAGTGTCCTAGTGTTTTAGTGGATTTAATATCAGATGGTTCCCTCAGAGATGATTGGTAATTCATTCTGTTTTCTCTACTCATTTGTAAAATGAGGATATTTCACCTCTTCTCAAGGCATACGTGTATTTAGCAAAAAACAATAACATATACAATTTCTTCTTTGTTTTTCTTTTTTCCCCCTTTATTGATTAAGGTATTACAAATGTGTTCTTATCCCCCCATTGTCTCCCCACCCCCCAATCATGCCCTCACCCTCACCCCCTGTTGTCTGTGTCCATTGCTTATGCTTATATGCATGCATACAAGTCCTTTGGTTGATCTCTCCCTCTTTCCCCCACCCTCCCCTACCTTCCCTCTGAGGTTTGAGCATTTGATCGATGCTTCTCTGTCTCTAGATCTGTTTTTGTTCATCAGTTTATGTTGTTCATTATAATCTACAAATGAATGAGATCATGTGATATTTATCTTTCTCTGACTGACTTATTTCACTTAGCATAATGTTCTCCAGCTCCATTCATGCTGTTGCAAATGGTAGGAGTTCCTTCCTTTTTACAGCAGCATAGTATTCCATTGTGTAGATGTACCACAGTTTTTTGATCCATTCATCTGCTGATGGGCACTTAGGCTGATTCCAAATCTTAGTTATTGTAAATTGTGCTGCTATGAACATAGGGGTGCATATATCCTTTCTGATTGGTATTTCTAGTTTCTTAGGATATATTCCTAGAAGTGGGATTACTGGGTCAAATGGAAGTTCCATTTTTAGTTTTTTGAGGAAACTCCATACTGTTCTCCACAGTGGCTGCAGCAGACTGCATTCCCACCAGCAGTGCACGAGGGTTCCTTTTTCTCCACATCCTCGCCAGCACTTGTCATTTGTTGATTTATTGATGATAGCCATTCTGACAGGTGTGAGATGGTACCTCATTGTCATTTTGATTTGCATCTCTCAGATGATTAGTGACTTTGAGCATGTTTTCATATGTCTCTTGGCCTTCCTTATGTCTTCTGGAGGGATCTCAATACCAGATATCATGATGTATTACAAAGCCACTGTTCTCAAAACTGCCTGGTACCGGCACAAGAACAAACATATAGACCAATGGAATAAAACAGAGAACCCAGAAATTGACCCAAACCACTATGCTTAATTAATATTTGACAAAGGAGGCAAGAACATACAATGGAGTCAAGACAGTCTCTTCAATAAATGGTGCTGGGAAATTTGGTCAGACACATGCAAAAAAAAAAAAAATGAAACTAGACCACCAACTTAAACCATGCACAAAAATAAACTCAAAATGGATAAAGGACTTAAACATAAGACAGGAAACTGTAAAAATATTATAGGAATCCACAGGCAACAAAATTTCAGATATATGCCAAAGCAATATTTTCACTGATACAGCTCCTAGGGCATTGGAAACTAAAGAGAAAATAAATAAATGGGACTACATCCATATTTGCCAATGATATCCTGATAAGGGTTTAATCTCCAACATTTATAGGGAACTCACACAACTTAACAAAAGGAAGACAAACAACCCAAATAAAGTCCAATTTGTAAAAAAATTTTTAAATTTTTTTTAAATTGTTTTAAGTATAACTTATACAATTTCGAACAGGATTCCTTTTGTGTCCTGAATTGTATTGGTGTTGGCTGCATTACCAAACCCACTAACTGGGCATTTTTATTAACAACTGGAAAATGCTTATTTTCCAGGGAATTTAAAGGAGAAGTCATTGGAAACAATACATGTACTTTTTCCTAACTGATGGTTAGAATCTAGAAATGGAACAAAGTGAATAATTTCCAAGAGAAGGGTGGTAAGCTGATAAAGTGTTATTACTAACTTCAAGTTAATCATCAGACTCCTGTAACTTAGATTCCTTATCTCCAAGGTGGTGATTAGCTTGAAATCACCACCTTGGAGGTAAGGAATCTGAGAATAAACATCTCACAGATCATTGTAACACTGAGCTCACCTCTCCCTTTCTTTTTAAGATGAATACATTTAGCTTGAGGAGAAGAGTGGGTAAAATTGATAAAGTTACACCGTGATGTTTCCATTCCAACAGAGAAAAGCTGTATTGATTTAAACAGCAATAGTTACAAATTAATGGAAATGTCATTCTCAAGAATGAGTCTTAGAGTTGGGAGAGGCTGGAGGCTTGGTGGAGCCTCTCTGTTCCCGCCACAGATTAGCTGTCTTCTCTTCTTTCCAGAGCTGTATTTTACCTGGAAGGTACCCTTTTCAGGAGTGGGTGAGCTCACTTCCCACCCTTACTACAAGGGCACTGTCCAACCCCACGCTTTTGTCTTCATTACCTCTGAGAATGTCCCACTTGGCCACTCTCTTAAATTTTGTTGCCACAGGAATAAAGGGAGGGGCCTCTGAACACCCCCATTCTCTTTTAATATAAAGACAAGGTAGAAAAGCAGCGTGTGTGTGATTGCTAAGTCATTCCCAGGGTTTGTTGTTACCCTGGAGGTTTGTTTCTTGTCCTTTGGCATGGGAACTCTTTGCTTCTCTGTTTCCCTAACATGCTTTTTTCAAGTCACTTAGAGGGAAAAAATATATTGATTAGTACATTATTCAAGAGATCAATAAGCCTTATGAACTATTGTCAGGCTAAATTAATGATTAAATTCTTTTTAAAAATATTTTTATTGATTTCAGAGAATGGAGAGGGAGAGAGAGCTAGAAACATCAACGATGAGAGAGAATCATTGATTGGCTGCCTCCTGCAAACCCCACACTGGAGATGAGCCTGAAACCTGAGCATATGCCCCAACTGGCAATCGAACTTTGACCTCCCAGTTCATAGGTCAACACTCAACCATTGAGCCACACTCAGCAGGCAGTGATTAAATTCTTACTCCTGAGAATCACCTGCCCAAATGGAGAATGGAAGTCTTATCACTGAAGATACCCTGAGAAGTTTGGACAACACAATCTTTGCTAAATTTCAGATTGTATTATTGAGGTGTGCTTCTAAATTGATCTTGTCACATTTACTTTCAATCTGATAAATCTGTATTCGAACATTTATTGCCAGATATTTTCCCTTTTCTCTACAATATGGCTAGGTCTTCCTCGAAATCACTCTTTAGTCAAATTTTACTAAGCCATTAGTATGATTTAAAATTTTACAATAATGCACAACTTGTATTGTATTGCTAATGTATACTTTTAAATTTAGATGAAATTCTTTACATTTGGCAATTTTGTTGTGATATTGTAAAGTTATGATTTCTGAATTATTTTAAAAAATATGTTTTTGTCAACTATTTGATGATAAGAGCTGTGTGAATAAGGAAATATCCAGGTTTTAGATACCATAAGAGGTTTTCTGGATATTTGCTTTCATTTCCTATTCTTCCATTCAACTGTTCTATGACTTCACATAAATTAATCACACCTCTGTGGCAGTTTCTTCTCGTGTAAACTGGGAATGACACTTTCTCTCTGCTCCCTAGAGATAAGTAGATCTGTGGCTTAGGGTTTTCAAACTTTTGGATTCGGTGGCTCAGAGCTGCAGTGTCACTTCTAATATGTGTTACTACATTTTCCAGTTAGTAAGCATTTCCACAAATCAGATTAAAAATGCATGGTACTGAATCACCATGTTTAATACAAGAAATGAAATGTAAAGACCTTGACTATTAAAATACTTACAAGGTTAATATTAGATAGTTCCAATCACATGTACAAAGTTTAAAGGAAAACTGTTATGTTTCATGCTATTAATTCCATTTACTAGCTCCGATTGAATATTATTTCCTCCACGATGTCGTATCAGCCAGGAAGCAGTCACCCTGTCTCTATAACTCTCTAAAGACTTTCACATGTAACTCTTATGGTTCTTCCCACAGAACTTTGTGGATGTGGAGTGTTTTCCATGTCTGGTCTCCTCTCTGCTTCCTGATGCCAGGAGCATGTATTCTTTGTCTTTGATTTTTCTAGTAAGGCTGTTATTGACATGATCAAAGACTATTGGCAGATCTGGGCTTACTGTGGCCACTTCTGTAAATTGGGAGCAAAAAATGTTAAACTCTAGTTGTTTCAAGGAGTATACAAGGTAAAACTACTGCATGTGCTAAGAATTACATAATATTCATTGGTTTTCCCCTCTGTGCCTCCACATTTTCATCTAGTACTCAGTTAGAATAAAGTTGCTCAATTTGAGTAAAATAAATGTTGAATGACATTTTGCACTGGCAGCTTAGTTGTAAGGATACTGACTGGTCTGACCTGACTCAGAACACCTCTTGCTAATTTTGTGATCTTGAACAGTTTCTTTAACTTCTCTAAATCAGAGGATGATAAATTGTGGCTCATGGACTAAATATAGTCCACTGCTGGTTTTCGTATGGTTCGTGAGATAAGAATCGTTTTACATTTTTAAAAATTGAAAAAAGTAAAAAAGAATAATATTTCATGACATAAAATTATATTAAATTCATAGTTTAGTATGCATAAAGAAAGTTTTAATAGAATACAGTCATGCTTATTCATTTATGTATCATCTATGGCTGCTTTCATGCTACAGTAGTTTAACTATATGGTTCATGAAGCTAAAATAGTTACTGTCTGACTCTTTGCAGAGAAAGTTTGCCTATTCTTGTTCTAAACCTCAATTTCCTCTTCTGTACAATAGGACAAATAGTACCTATTTCAGGGAGGTTTGAGATAATGTGTGAAAAATTCTTTGTACAGGGTCAATGATATTAAATACTCAGTAAATGTTAGCCATTGATGTTATTATAATATTTATAGTTTTTAATCATCTCATAATTTGTTTAGTGAAGGTGGATCAAAAATTCTCTCCCATTATACTCACTAAAATTGATTATTTTATATTATAATTACTTAAATTTTTAATTAATTTTTTATATTTTTATTAATTATTTAATTTTGTTACATTTCTATTAGAATATTTTGGTATTTCTGATGTTCAAAGACCTACCCAACATACCCTCAACCAACTTTGCCATTTAATTTTCAGGTACTTTCCTTTATCTGACTATCTCTAGCTCAGCTGTACATCCAATGACCTTTTCCCACTTTTCCACTTCTGTATCCCCTTCATCTCCCATTTCCACATGCCAGGTCTAGTCCATCTTCCAAATCTGGTACCAGCATCACTCCCTTCACAGAATTCCTTTATTATTTGTATGTACACTATGCCACACAATCTCCCTTCCCCAACAACAGCAACAAAAACAAACACAAAAGAATTTGGGAGGAAATTCATTCTCCAGGACCTATGTGAGCATTTTATTTCTACATAGTAGAGCACACATCACTTTCTTGCTTGTGTTTTAATTATGCATATACTTCTTATCTGGACTCTTTCAGGAAAATACCATTGTTATTGATCTGTGTAGTCAGTACAGTACCCCAGATGTGTTTGCACATTGAAGTACCTAACGTGTTTTTTTAAATGCATAAATTTTTCTTTCCTTCTGACTTTTGGATTTTTGGCTCTTTCCAGACAGAATTCCTTGACATAAGCCAGCTGTCTTTCATTCATGATTTGGGACCAAAGGGCATGTAAGTTCCCGTGTTGTATCTTTAAAGAGAAGTGTGAATATTGATGAGTATTAACATTTGATTAATTGGCATGCCAGGATGATGGAACTCATCTGGTTTTACTGGTAGCTTCTCCCCATCAGAGGCAGAGCAACTGAGGGGATCTATTTAGGCAAAACAGAATATCTTGCTACATTAAACAAAGGTAGCAATTGTTCTACCCTCTTTCTTATGTGCTTATAGCACCAATTTTCTATAATCCCACAGTTGCCCTGTTTAATACAGGTAACAAATATGATGTGGGAGAATGTATTAAAAATCAAACATACTATATTATATATTTGAAAATCTCTAAGACAGTAGATCTTAAATGTTATTATCATAAGAAAAAAATTGTAACTGTGAAACAATAGGTGCTAGCTAGACTTATTGTGGTGATCAATCACTTTACATTATATACAAATATCAAATCACTGTACTGTATACCTAAAACTAATATACTGTCAATAATGTCTCAATATAATGTTATATGTGAATATCTCAATTTTAAAAAAATCAAATATACCAGATTCCCTTCTTCTAATCTTATCTAATAATAGACAAAGATTTAAATTGAACGTACCTCCACTACGCCTCTCATTGGCTAATCAGTGAGATATGCAAATTAACCGCCAACAAAGATGGCGGTTAATTTGCATACATAGGTGCGAAGCGGCGGAGTGAAGACTGAAGGCGGCTCCAGCTGCCGGAGCCGCGAGAGGCTTGAAGGCACCTCCAGCCAGAGCGAAGGTCTGGGTCCCGAGTGCCGGAGGAAAACCAGTGCTGGCAGATATGTGAATATCTCAATTTTTAAAAAATCAAATATACAAGATTCCCTTCTAATTGCTTATAAAAGTTAGTTGCTTATCACTCATTTCCATGACTAAAAATAATACTGTGTAAAAGGTATGTTATGTAACAAGATTGAAATTTACTTAATTATTCTTTTCCTTCACAATATGAGAGCTTGGTATGATAAAGAGCTGAACTTTTTAAAGTAAAGATCATTGTTAGTGGAGTGCTTTAAGGATGAGCTGCTAGGACTCATCCTAGCAAATAAGGTATTGAGCTGTTTGAAGTAGGAGAGAACAGGCAGGAAAGTCGAGAGAATGAAACAGTTTATTTAGTCCCAAGTTGCAAGGTTGTCTCAGCTAAGAGTGAGCTGGAAATTTGAAGATGATGGGTTACCTTGATGTCTCTTTCAGAGAAGGCATGATAATGAAAAGATCTGGAGGACACAGGATACCTGGCTTGAATTGCTGTGGTCAGGGAAGAGCCTGCTACCGGTGGTCAAGAAGGTAGGACTTAGGAGTTTTGTGTATATTTTTTTAATAAACTGGATATTTGGGGAATTTTTACATACTAGTTTTAAATTAAATTATAAATCAGTTATAAATCCTTTGAAAGTCATAACAGAGAAAATTTTAAGTTCCAAATTTCATTATTTCCTAATATCAAACTATACTATAAGGCCATAATAATCAAAACAGCATGGTACTGGCATATAATCATACGTATAGATCAATGGAACAGAATAAAGAGCCCAGAAATAAATCCACATCTTTATGGTCAATTAAAATTCTACAAAGGAGGCAAAAAATATACAATGGGATAAAGATAGACTATACATTCAATAAATGGTGATGGGAAAATTGTACAGATATGTACAAAAAAAATAAAACTAGATCACCATCACCTTCTTACACCATACACAAGAATAAACTCAAAATGAGTTAAAGACTTAAATATAAGACTCAAAACCATACAAATCCTAAAAGAAAATATAGGCAGTAAAATCTTGGACATTTCTTGTAGCAATATTTTTTCTGATATGTCTCCTCAGGCAAGAAAAAATAAACAAATAAACAAAAGAAAAAATAAACAAATGGGATTACATCAAACTGAAAAGTGTTTGCACAGCAAAGGAAACCATTAACAAAATGAAAAAAAAAACACCACTGAATGGGAGAACATATTCTCCAATGATACATCTGATAAGGAGTTAATATCCAAAATTTGTAACGAATTATAAAACTGAACACTAAAAAAACAAACAATCCAATTTAAAAAATGGACAAAGAACCTGACACTACTCCAAAGAGGACACACAGATGGCCACTAGACATATGAAAAGATGCTCAACATCACTAATCATGATAGAAATGCAAATTAAAACCATGAGATATCACTTCAGATCTGTCAGAATGTTTACCATCAATAAATCAACAAACAACAAGTGTTGGTGAGCATGCAGAGAAAAGGGAACCCCCATGCACTCTTGGTGGGAATGCAGATTGGTACAGTCACTGTGGAAAACACTATGGAGTTACCTCAAAAAAATTAAAAATGGAACTGCCGTTTGACCCAGACATTCCATTTCTGGGAATATATCCAAAGAAACTCAACACACTAATTCGAAAGAACCACCACGTTCATTGCAGCATTATTTACAATTGCCAAGCTCTGGAAATAGCCCAAGTGCCACCAGTAGATGAGTGGTTAAAAAAGCTGTGGTACATTTACACAATAGAATACTACACAGCTGTAAAAATAGAAGGAAATCTTACCTTTTGCAACAGCATTGATGGACCTGGAAAGTATTATGCTAAATGAAACAAGCCAGTCAGAGAAAGACAAATACCATCTGATTTCACTTACATGTGGAATCTAATGAACAAAATAAACGAACTAAATAGAAACAGATTCATGGATACAGAGAACAAATTGACAGTTGTTAGAGGGGTAAGGGCTTGAGGAGGGGGGCAGGGGCTGGATAAAAAGGTAAAGGGATTAAGCAAAAAAAAACCCAAAAACCCCAAAACTCATACACACAGACAATAGTGTGGTGATTACCAGAGAGAAAGGAGTGTAGGGGGAAATAGAAGAGGATAAATGGTGGATAAATGGTGGATAAATGGTGATGGAAGATTTGACTTTGGGTGGTAAACACACATTATAATATACAGATGATGTATTATAGATTTATATACCTGAAACCTATATAATTTTATTAACCAATGTTACCCCAATAAGTTCACTTAAAAATATGGCCAATATCAAGTGTTGACAAAGATGTAGAAAAATCAGAACCCTCAGACATCGCTGGTGGAAATGTAAAATGGTTCAGCCACTTTGGGAAACAGTTCCTCAAAATATTAATTAGAGTTGCCATATGCCCCAGCATTTCTACTCCTATGTGTTCACCCAAGACAATTGAAAAATATGTCTATATCAAAACTGTACATGACTGTACATAGCAGCATTATCCAGAAGAGCCAAAAAGTGAAAACAACCCAAATGTCTATCAATTGATGAATGCTTAAATAAAAGGTGGTATTATAATACCATAAATTATTATTCAGCTATAAAAAGGAATGAAGTCTACTAGTGGGTATGGGGTTTCTTTCTGGGTTGATGAAAATATCTGGAATTAGATGGCCATGATGGTTGCAAACTTTGGGAATACATTAAAAACCACTGAATTTTATTCCTTTAAAAGGTGAGTTCTTTGATATGTGAATTATATCTGAAAAACATTTTTAAATTTTTAATAAAAAAGAATGAAGTACTGATGCATGCAATATCATGAAGCAACCTTGAAAATATTGCAACAATAACTTACTGGGATTTTGAAAAAAAAATACAAGAAATATATGCTATTTTTAACCTTGAAAAAGGTATGAGCTCATGTGTAAATATGAAATTGAGCTGTGTTTGTGTTAAAAAATATATATATAAACTTAAAACTGGGATCTGTCTTTAAACATTAAGATACAGTGCCAACAAAAAATATTAAATTGGGCTTTAATTTTGGGGGGTTTTGAAAGGATCAAAAAAATTAGAAGGAAAACATGGAAAGCTCAGATTAAAGAAATTTCAGTGTTATAAAAAGAACAGTTTTACTACAATAAAAAAGGAAATAATGCACTATAAAATATTTTCTTTCAAATAAACTCTGGAACCTACGTAAAGCTCTTTTAGATGGAATAGCCAGGGAAGGCCTACCTGTGGAAGAACATCTAAGCAGAGGGCTGACCGACAAAAGGGGTCATGCCTGGGAGGATCTGGAAGAAACAGCTTCGAAGCAGAGGAATAGTGACTGCAGGAGCCCAAAGTAGAACAAGATTGTCAGGCTGAGGAACAGCCAGACACAGGTGGTGGGAGAGAACAGTGGGAAATGAAGCTGAAGAGGTGATGGCTGCTCATGTCCGCCCACCTGCATTTTAATGCCGCAGCAGTGGCAGCACAGGCAGGAGGCATCTTGTTGGAACAGACCATCATCTCACCTGGTTTAGACCAAGAATATTCATAGAAGTTCAGATTTACTGGTGCTGGGAACGGTGCTGAACAATGTATGTGAATCATCTCAGTTAATCTGCACAGACACAGGAGCAGGGCATTGCTGTTACCCTCCTTTTATAGACTTAGGCTCAGTTGGCCAAGTTCACACAATCAGGCAGTTGGCAGAGCCGGAACTGGAGCTCAGGGAGGCTGACTTGAAGGCAGGTGCTTAATCCCTGTGCAGCCGGTGCTGACTCCCAAAAGGCTGGTTGATGGATTACTTTTGTGTTACAAATCCTCTCGTTAAGAAATATAAATAAATCTATTAACAAAAGAACAAAAGAGAGAGAGGGAAGAAACCAAAAGAGTTTTCATGAATGGTGTAATTCAGAAAAGCTCCCAATAAAGGCCAGGAGTCAGTTTACCCTGATAGATAATGACTGTTTAAAAAGAACAACGACCCTAGCTGGTTTGGCTCAGTGGATACAGCATTGGCTTGTGGACTGAAGGGTCCTGGGTTCGATTCCAGTCAAGGGCACATGCCCAGGTTTCGGGCTTGATCCCCAGTAGAGGGCGTGCAGGAAGCAGCTGATCAATGATTCTCTCTCATCATTGATGTTTCTAACTCTCTCTTCCTCTCTGCAATCAATAAAACTATGCTTAAAAAAACAACAACAAAGAAACAGCTTATCATTGTCAAAACAGAAACCATTATCTTTTGTGTTCAGCTTTCAAAAACCCAGCTGTCACTACTAAACAATTCCATATTTCTAGGCAGCCACATCTTGAAGGGAGTCACCATTGACATAGGTACCACATGAATGGCACCTCGTAGAGTTGAGCAGTGCCCTCCTGTCTCATTTCTGTCGCCCAACAAGGCTGTTTGTAGCCTATTCAGAACCTGTGTGCAAGTTAGAGAGAAGTGCCCCCTGCTGCAGGATGGTGCGGCCGACGCCAGTGCCCGCCTTCAACGGGCGTCCTTGTGCAGGGCACTGCACAGTGGTACCTGGTGGCCTGTTCCCGAGGACATGTTTTGCAGCCCTTGGCCCTGGTGGTTAAGCCACGAGCCTGTGCTCTCAGGAGCATTTCTGAGATTTGCTCTGTCATGGGAGCTGGTTCACCTGGATATGGCGTCATTCCACTGTCGTCCCATACTGTTGTCTCTGGTGTGGAGCGCTGGCCAGACTGGCTGCCATGCCATTCCAGTATCACAAGTCTGGTATGTTTGACTTTCTTCTCAGATCGGAAAGCCTGCCAGCTGTGGTTGTCAACGCCTGTCAGCAACAGAGTAAGCCAGGTCTCGGCCTGCACCGCATGTCTGTTCTCTAGCTTGCTTCAAAGTCAAGCTACGAGAACGTTCAGCAGATAAAGAAGGAACTTTACCAGATATACGATCCATCTCCTCTCTTTTAGCTTTAACTGAGCTTTATCTGTCGGCAGCCACACGTCTGGACTTACTCAGCCATGGCCATCAGAATCACTCAGTTACCGTTTGGTATCATGACCTTGGCATTCATATTGAGCAGTGTTGAGAAATCTTATAAAAATGCATAATTTCTGCATTTGCTGAAAATTATTGAGATTATTATCTATTATATTGTTCAGTTGCCTTGTGTTCAGGTCTCAAATGAGAAACTTTCTTTGGGATTTAGCTTTTTGGGTGCAAAAAGCTTATTAACTTATTCATTTGATAAGAAAAACCAGGAAACCCTGGTGTGCCATCACCATAATTATACTAGCACTGTGGTTAGGTGTTGGCTTTCTGTGACCTTGATTTTTCCCCTTTTTTTAGAAAACAATATCACATGTATGTCCTTTACTGTAAATTATCCACAGTCCATCCCACCCAGTTTTACGGAGAGGGAGGCAGCTGACATATTAAAAAAACGGATGAAATGAACTGTGTGGAAATCAATGTATATTTGTATACATAGAATCCCACATTATAAAGCCACTAAAACATAATGTGGTTAGCAATTTCAGTAAAGATTTATTGTAGATTTCTTTCAAATTCTGAGTTTCCACGTGACATTTATAATATTACTTAATTTGTGTGCAGGTGTTCTAGCCTTACTTAACCCATCATGTGCTTCATTTTGCCTAATATGTGATACAATATAACTGGTGTTACTTTATTCAGTTATATGTTGAATCATTTGGTCACTCCGCAATTGCAGGTAAATGTGAATATATGGTGCTGCATGCAGCAGGACAAAGTTGTCATTTGTTTTTATTTGATGTCCATCCCGTTCTCTCTGTCTTGCTCTTTCTGTTCTCAGTGCCATGCGTATCATCTGCATCCTTACTAAGCAGAGTGTCCCTAACATAGGCAACCCCTCTGAGCTCGTTAGACATACAGAATCTCAGGCCCCGCCCCAGACCTCTTGAATCCAAATCTGCATTTTGAGAGGATCCCCAGGTGCTGCATATCCACAGGAAAGTGTAAGAAGAGCTGTTCTGTGTTATTACAGTAGCTTCCTCACTGCCACACCACATCCCTCTTTCTCCTTCATACCTTTTTTTTTTTTTAACATAGTGCCAATGATATTATTGTCCTATGGCCTTGGCAGGACAGGAGGATTCCCTTATTTAATAAACACCCGGATGTTTGTTTTAAATACAAATTGTTAGGCCTTTTTAATGGATCTTTGGTGGGGCCTGGGACTCTATTATTTTTAACAAAAATCTGAAGAGAGTCTGATGATCAGGCACGTTTAGAGAGCACTGGTTCCCTGAGATAAAATCAACCTCTTAGCATGGCCCCCAGACGCTCCTCAGTGCGGCTTTTGCCCATTTTCCCTTCCGACTCTCTCTGAGACCCTGGCCTCACCAAACTGTCTCCCAACACATGCAGCATCTCCAGAGCTCAGGGCCCTGCCAGCTCTTCCCTCCCTGTGGGATGGACACCATGACTACCAACTTCGGGCTCTCTGTGACAGGTCCTTCCTGGCCTCGCACAGACTCTGCCTCTTTGGGAGAACACCACTCCTGTGCTCTTAGTGGGGACTAAGGACTCCTCCTCCCACCTATCACTGTTTGCTTTTCTCTTCTGATACCTATCCCATTCAGCCTAGAATTATGGTTGCTTGTGCCCCACGGGCCTAGTAAGATCTTTGAGAAGATGTATGATTTATCTTTGTGCTGTTTCTACCTCTACCCTAACTCCTTCTTTGTCATTGTACTTTTCTATTATGAAGCTCTTAAATATATATTGAATTGAATGGAAATATGCTTTTGAGAGATCATGTCCCATTGAACATCATTTAATAATGGCCCCCCAAAATCGCAAATAATTTGAAATGAGCAACAGAATATGCAGAGTATTGGGTGCTTACTAGATTTCTTAAAAGGGGGATTATACTTACTGAGAAACACCAACACATTCCATTCTCCCAACAGCTGGGGCTCCCGCTGTACCTCCTGCAAGCACTCCCTCCCCTTGGCAGGGGTGTTGTCCAGGCCTCTTCGACCTTAGTGTTTAAAAAGCTAGTGAATTATTTTGAATTGCTTGGTGCCAGCACTTCTTAGAAAAATGTAATAGAAAGGTTTTGGATTGTGTTTTTTGTTGTTTCATTGTGGTTTTTATTTTTCCCTTTTTTTAAATTTAATTTAATTTTATTATTATTATTATTTTTTAACAATATACAAAATAAATCAGTCTGTATGCGGTCTCCACTTTCGGTCCTCGGGTATCAGTGTTCTCTCCTGTGAGCTTTCCATTGATTATTCAGAAGTTTTCCTGTATTTTAGCTGTAATACCAGTTAGTTCCTGGGAGCATGTTCGTGCAGCATCCACTTACTCTGCCATATTTAATCCTTCTCATTGTGGTTTTTAAAAACTGAATCCCCAGTGTAAACATGAAATTGTCTACTGCCTGTGAGTCTGTTTACTTCAGACTTGTCATATACTTTGTTCTTTTTGTCTCAGTAATTCAGTACAACTTTAAAAATGCGTATTATCTCCTCCCAGGTGGTTGATAGTGAAAGATTCCTTTTTACTGTACATGAAGCCAGACAATGGAGCCATCGCGTTCGTCCTGCTGGTGGATAAAGAATTCAGAATTAAGGTGGGAAAGAAGGAGACAGACACGAAATATGGACTCCGAATTGATAACCTTTCAAGGTAGAAATTTCAACTATTTTTAAAAGAATAAATATTTGTTGGTAAAAAAAATACATTTTTACCAAAATATCTTAAAAACAGTCTTTCTCCCAAATTTAAATAAAGAAAGTAAAATAATTTAAATGTTTGATAATTTTCATTTAGAACTTATCCTCAAAAGTAATGAAACTACTTTTTCCTTAAATCAACATGTAAGAAGACCCTATGTCAACAGTTAGAATAAGCTATCTTGTGTTGACATATGCCTAATTTAATGAAATTGACTACTCAATAATACCATTTTGCCGAACGGATAAATTAAGGAATGATAGAATGATAGATAGTTCACATTTTTTTAAAAAATAAAATTTTACTTTATGAATTGACATCCTTTAACAAAACACAATGATTTGATTTAGGAAAATTCTGTTGACACACAGATTTTTAAGAAACATACCTTGAAAGGATACTCAAATGTACATTTATCATAGATTTTATTAGTGAGTATGTGTGTATTGATACGTATGTTTTTTCCTGGAATATTGTAGTTATATAATATATGCGTGTCTTTCTCTCTATATACACTTGTTTCCATAAAGTTCAGCCTCATGTATATGGATATACATACATTTCTGTCTTTACTCAGATTAACTGGCGTAGAGATACAGATACTCTTACTAACATACATTTGCAAATGCAAAGGTGCTGCCACTAAACCTTCTTCCTGTACAGTTTCTGTTTTGGGGAGGGCCATAGGCATCAGGCCACAATTCCCACTGGTCCCGGTAACAGATCTCTGCACCAGTCTGTGGGATCAGGGTCTGGAATATGCCCTTTTGCTTGGCTTTGGTGAACTCAGAGTAGGGGAGGAATTACTCTCCTAAAGTACAATCAGGATGTTTCCAGAAGCTGGGGAAATGGACATCAGGCACTAAAGGGAAATGACCTCTACAGGAGCCAGCAACTAAGTAACACAGAGGCACAGATCCTCGCCTTATACCTCTTTCATTATCCTCCTTACAGTCTAGCACACCTCCAGGACTATAGGAAGTACCTTATACATGGTTGCATGAGTGGATAAGTAGCCTGAAAATGTGTTTTTGCTACACTGACTATATTTTACAATCTTGCCAAAAATGTTTACAAGTCTGCTTTTTTAAAATTTAAGTAAGATGCTGTTTACTTAAAATTTTCAACTTATGTCTGTAGTATCGAAACAAAACAGGGCATGGTTCAGTCTTAAATTTGTTTAAAAAGACAGAACACAGAGTGACCATCCTTTTCCACATTTTGCTTTTCTTTGAAGGACACTTATTTTAAAATGCAACAGCTATAGACATGCTCGGTTGTGGGCAGGAGCTATAGAAGAATTCGTCCAGAAATATGGCAGCAACTTCCTCAAAGATCACCGATTTGGGTCATATGCTACTCTCCAAGAGAACATTTTAGCTAAATGGTAAGATCTTTTTGGTCTAAGATTGTCAGGGTAGTCATAGAATCAATTTCCCTAAAGTCAGTTTTCAAAGCTGTGAAAAGATGTAATGCATTATACCTAACAAAGGCTTTTCTTTATAGGACTACCTGAGCATCAATTAGTTTTCCGATTTTTGTTTTAAAGATATTTTATAATGAACTTTAAAATAGCCAGTTTTAGATTTTGAAGTTTGATTTTAAAAACTAACTTTATAAATTTTCTTAATGATGCAAATGGAAGATTTATTTAAGTCATTAGCCATGATTTAAGAAAAAGAATTTACTTGCTGGATATTTCTTTTAAATATATTTTATTGATTTCAGAGAGGAAGGGAAAGGGAGAGAAAGATAGAAACATCAGTGATGAGAGAGAATCTTTGGTTTGCTGCCTCCTGCCCACCCCACACTGGGGATCGAGCCCACAACCCAGGCATGTCCCCTGACTGGGAATTGAATCATGACCTCCTTGTTCATAAGTCAACACTCAACTACTGAGCCTCACTGGCCGGGCCTGGCTATTTCTTTTAATTAAAATCATTCTTAGCATGTTTTTCTATCCATGGATTTAAAACAATTCTGTTTTCAGTCTCCAAAGAACAACTGTGTGTGAGTTCAAGAGAATAGGAGAGTTCATTTGACCCTGTATGATGATGATACCAATCAATTGTTGCTTACCTCTATCAGTTTACTGTACTTCCTATGTAGCATTCTCAGTCCTTGTTTTTCATTTACAGAAAATTAACTAGTGGTTGTGTAGGGACTCTTGGGAATAGTTTCCATCTTTGGCTTTGCCTTAAGATATGTGTCTTCTCCTCTTTCTTATTTTTTGTAAAACAACCCCCCACACACACACACACAAATGAAAAAAACAAAACAAAAAACAAAAACAAAAAACACTTGTCTTTCAGGTATGTTAATGCCAAAGGATATTTTGAAGATATTGCAAATGCGATGGAAGAGGCAAAAGAAGAGATTTTTATCACAGATTGGTGGTTAGTATTTGTCCCTGGGGATGGTGTTTGGAGTCTCTATGTTTAGGAATGTACAACAGTGTTTGTTGTGCTGTCCCAGAGTCACACATTATGAAAACCAGCAGTTCCCACAGATGGTCTGGCCAAAGTCTCTACCAATTAACTCTAATAGCCTCCAGTGAAAGGTCTTTTCAAAACACTTGGCACCCAAATATATTCTTAAAATATTTAGCTTGAACAATATTGTACTTGTCTTTCTATTTAGAAGCAGACACTCAGTATTCATTTTAGTAAAGATTATGTTGCAATGCAAACATAGTTGTAGAGGTAGTGGAAAATAATCATCCTTGAGTAGTTTTTCCTCATTTTGGTATGTCTGTCACTAGATCCAGTGAATATAATTCTTCAGAATTGTCCCTTTGAAATTGGAATCGTTCCATTTGCCCATTACTATTTAAATGTCCTTGTTAATGACTAGCCTGGTCAGCTTTTTTGGAGATATGTCAGGTTTCAATTGTCTGACCCCCCTTAAAAACATCCATGAGAGTTATGATGCTTTCTAAAGCCACTAGAAGTCTCATATCTAAAACTCATTTAGCTACTGGGAAATTTCACCCCTGAAGTTGGTGTAGGCTTTGTAGTGTGACTTTAGCTCCAATTACCTACCTGCCTGGACAGTGAAGAATGACTGCAGATGTCAACATTGACTGTAAAGGAAATGAAAACATTTAAAACGTGTTTTCCTTCTGATATCTTAGTTGCTTAAGATGCCCCTATTTTTCCCTATCCTGTTTCCTTCCAAACGCTACCTTATGTAGGAACTGTGCAAATATCATCATAACTTATTTCCTCTTAATTCTAGACCTGGGGGCACAGGGGAGAGAAGTTAGGAATGTGCGCTCATCTTTTTCTACGCTTTGCCTCAGTGATGTGAGACTCGATCATTCTAGGGCATGCTTTCCCAACCTGGGCACTACTGACATTTGGGGCCAGATAATTCTCAGTTGTGGAGTGTTGTTCTGTGCATTGTGGGATGTTTAGCACCATCGGTATCCCTGGCTTTTACTCACTAGATGACAATAGCCAGATCCCAGTGGTAATAACCTGTGTCTTTAGACTTTGCCAAATGTCTCCTGGGAGGCAAGGTCCCTCTGGGCTGAGAATCATTGATCTAGAATCACAGATAAGGTATGTGCTGGTCAGCACGGCTACAAATAATTTATTCTCATGTTGTTGGAGGAGCTTATTCTTGGCCTTTACTAGTATATTATTGACAAATTTTGTCCCATTAGTCAATTACCAGGAAAAAAATAAAGTTTCCTGCTTTAGGAGCTGTTTCTTTGGTTGATTCTTTCTAAACACTTATGAGAATTCATTCAAGTTTAATGTCGTACTGTAGTCCTTGAAGAAAAATATTTCTGAAAGTTTGACGAAGACATGAAAGAGAATGAAAACAGTTTTTTCCATTGAGCCCATGTTCTCATGTTTTGTGCAAGAATATATTCTCTTTTGAAGGTTGTGACTGCCAAAGTAAGACTCACATTTAAACATTTAAAGAGATGGAACCCTGACTGTTTTCTCTTCTACTGTCAGCAAAAATATGAATCAGAATGTTATTTCTTTGTCATGACTTCTCTAAGATAACATCTTATTACAACACTACCTTTGAAATAAAACCTTTGTGGTAACTTCCCTCAGAACAAGTGAAGAAAGTTCTTGTCATGCAAGTATATTGCAAAAGGGAACATTCAAAAGCTTAACCAAACCCTGATATGTCTAGACCTGAGAGAGTAATAAGCATAGTTAGAGGAAACACATGCCCTTTAGAAACTTCCGATCTAATTCAAGAGACATCATGTACTTAAGTAAAAATGGCATTAATTTTTTTTAAGCAATTATTATGCAAGCAAAGGCAAATATAGTGACATGAGAAACAACCTGGGACCTAGAATTACTCAGTTCCTTTGTTCATTAACTTGACCACCTATCCATTCATTTCCTAATTTATTCACTGATTCATTCCAGGGCTATTTAGTGAGTATGCGCTCTGTGACAGGTACTGACCAAGGCTATCCTATATAATAAAACCCTAACATGCAAATCAACCGAATGGCAGAATGACCACCCAGGGGGCAGATACTCAATGCAGGAGCTGCCCCCTGGTGGTCAGTGTGCTTCCACAGGGGGAGTGCTGCTCAGTCAGAAGCCGGGCTCATGACTGGTGAGCACAGCAGTGGTGGTGGGAGCCTCTCCCACCTCTGCTGCAGACAGGCGGTAAGGAGAGAGGGGTCCTGGACTGCGAGAGCCCTGGACTGCAAGAGGGATGTCTGACTGCCAGCTTAGGCCCAGTCCCTGAGGGGATCAGGCCTAAGCCAGCAGGCGGACATCCCCCGAGGGGTCCTGGATTGCAAGAGGGTGCAGGCTGGGTTGAGGCCCCCCCACCCACCCACAGTGCACGAATATTGTGCACTGGGCCTCTAGTGTGCATATAAAGATGAGTGAGAACCAACTTCTACCCTGGAACAACATAGAGTCAGGAAGTCATACATAAAACAACAGATTGGGGAAAACTCGGTGATGAAGATCAACAGAGCAGAAGACATGGAGGGATAGTGGCTGAGCCTGCAAGAGGGGGCTCTGGAAGCTTCACAGAAGAGAATGCTGGCCTGGGGCCTGGGGATGGAGTTGGTGAGAAGAAAACAGGTGAACGTTTTAGGCAAAGGGACAGTCAAGACCAAGGCATAGGGGTGTGAGAGAGCACAACAATTTTGGAGCATAGCATTCTTTGGGATGTTTAGACTTGAAACCACAGAAATCCTGGAAGAAAACAGGCAGTAAAATCTCACACATTTCCCACTGTAACATTTTTTCTGATCTATATCCTCTGGCAATATCTGTGTTTATATTTTTCTTTTTTAAAATCTTTATTGTTGAAAGTATTATATATGTCCCCCCTTTTCCCCATTGACCTCTTCCAGCCTACCCCTGCCCCCTACCCCAGGCCTTTACCACCCTATTGTCTGTGTCCATGGGTATGCATATATGCATACAAGTTCATTGGTTGATCTTCCCATCCACCTACCCTCCCCTGCCTTCCCTCTGAGGTTCAACAGTCTGCTTGATGCTTCTATTTCTCTGGATCTATTTTTATTCATCAGTTTATGTTGTTCATACGATTCCACATATGAGTGAGGTCATGTGATTCTTTTCTTTCTCTGACTGGCTTATTTTGCTTAGCATAATGCTCTCCAGGTCCATTCATGCTGTAGCAAATGGTAAGAGTTCTTTCTTTTTTGCAGCTGTGTAGTATTCCCTTGTGTAGATGTACCATAGTGTTTAATCCACTCATCTTCTGATGTGCACATAGGCTGTTTCAAAATCTTAGCTATTGTAAATTGCTCTGCTATGAACCTATGGCAAGGATGTAGAGAAAAGGGAATCCTTGTGCACTGCTGGTGGGAATGCAGACTGGTGCCGCCATTATGGAAAACAGTATGGAGGTTCCTCAAAAAATTAAAAATGAAAATGCCATTGACCCAGTGATCCCACTTCTAGGAATATATCCTAAGAAATCAAAAACACCAATATCTGTGTTTTTAATGTCAGATTTCTTTTCAAAGCCTTTGCAGTGTGGTTCAGCTCTGTCCCCCATGTGCTCCACCTAGTGGCCAGTTAGGGCAGTGGTCTATTTTTTTCAGTTCTCAAACTCTCTGGCATAATACAGGGTGGGGCAAAAGTAGGTTTATAGTTCATAAATAATACAATAATAAATAACAATACAGAAACAAAAACTCTATGTTTTGCATATTCACAACTCTAAACCGACTTTTGCCCCACCCTGTATTTAGGATCAAATCCATGCATTGGCAGCTTGGGAGTGAGCTAGAAGTCACAAACAGATTGATAGGGCTGCTTTCCTGAGCTCTTCTCTCTCCGTGATCCCCCCACTAATTTTGGGTTTCCTGTGGCTTCTCTTTTGCCGCCACTTCTATCACTGCCAAAGATCTCACTCTTTCTCCTCAGGCCTGAACTAGAGACCAATTGCATCGCACCTGCCTTGGCTGGCCTGGCGCCAGCGCGTGTCATAGTGTGGTCGTCCGGACGGTTGTTCTGCTGTTCGACCGTTCGGTCGATTTGCATATTACACTTTTATTATTATAGATATTTTTATTATAAGAATACAATATAAAATCTATCCTCTTAGCAAATTTTTAAATATAGAATATAATCTAATGTAGCTAACTACAGGCACTGTACTGTGCAGTAGGTTTACGATAGGCACCATGTTGTACATAGATCTCTCAGACTTACTCATTTTGCATAACTGACTGGTACTTTGTGCCTTTTGATCAAGACCTCCTCGTTTCCTCCTTCCTTCACTCCTGGTAACCACCACTCAAGGAATCATTGTTGGGGAATGTAAATTGGCGCAGCTAATATGGAAAACAGCATGGAGGTTCCTCAAAGAATTGAAAAATAGAACTACGACATGATCCAGGAGTCCCACTTCTAGATATATATAAAAATGAGTTGAAATCAAGATACTAGTATTGAAGAGGTACCTGCTTTCCCATGTTCATTGCAGCTGCATTCACAACATCCAAGACATGGGAACAACCTAAATGTCCATTAAGGGATGAATGGATAAAGAAAATGAAGTATTTACATTCAATGGAATATTATTCAGCCTTTAAAAAAAGGAAATTCTACCATTTCCAACAATGTGGGTGAACCTGGAGGACATTATACTCAAGTGAAATAAGCCAGACACAAAAGAACATATAATACAAGATCCCACCTTTCTGAGAAATCTAAAGTAGTCAAACTCCCTTTTTCTTTTTTAATCTGGCTAGAAGTTTATCAATTTCATTAATTTTTAAATGAGCTAGCTTTTGGTTTCATTGGGTTTTCTCTATTGTTATTGTCTTATATTGCATTGAGTTCCATTCATCTATTCTTCCCTTTCTTCTTACATTAGGTTTAATTTTTCCTGTTTCTATCTTCTTAAGATGGAAGCTCTGATCATTGATTTCAACTGTTGTCCTTCTCATATAAATATTTAAAGCTATAAGAGAGGAGCATTTACTTGGAAGTCCATGTTAACATCTCTGGAATCAGGATAGATCTTACCTTCAGTAACATCTTACAGTGGTAACTCTCATCACATTTTCTTTCTTAGTGGTACACACAGTAATGAAGCATCTTGCTATCATCAGTGTCCTAGATTCAGTGAAATACAGTATCATATAATTCTTTTGAACTTAGTTTATCTAATAACTACTTAGTAAAGATCCTGACACAATGATACTTGGGCATCATAGCTGCTCTCTCTTTGCCATTGTTTATACTTTGTTTATATCAGTCTTTTATCATTTTATTATCCTGAAAATTGAGGGTTCCTTGAGAGCTATATTAAGATCCTCCAAAGTAACTAGTAGAATATTCTGCATACAGGGTGCACAATGCTGGTATAGTAAATAAAGGATAAGAGACTTGATTGCCGAGCATAGCTTTAGAAGCGGCCCCAAAACAGAAGCCCTCTGAGTCCATAATTAATGTATATATAAAAATTGCAAGTATGTATATGTTGCTGGATATATCTCATCTTCAGTGAACTAGCAGTGTACAGTGCTGTACTTTTCTACTTAAAACAGAACTCTTTGTAATTCATCATAAATCTTTTGCTGCATTTTTTGTTTGTTTAGACATAGATTACCTTTGAGTTGTTTCCTATTTTGAATTAAATATGCAAGTATTTGTACTGTATATACTCCCACTATTTGTCTGTTTTCTTAATAATCTCACCCAATATGTGTTTCCTTTGGATATGTTATGTCTGAGTTTTTATTTTCTTTAAGTGAATGAAATAGAGCATAAAATTATTGCTTTTAATCTCTTTAGCTCCTTAAAACCCTGTTGTTGTCACCTTCTTAGAGGACTTCCTGGCAAGGCAATATTACAGCCTAGTGTTCAATAAGGCTTTAATCCATATCCAGTCTCCTCCTCTTCTTCCAAGTCTAGCATTTCAGCAGATGAAGTTTTCTTATTTGTTTTTCCTCATTACAGGGAAGTCATATCACATATACATTTAACTGACTTCAGACCTCAACCCCAAGGGAAAAAGGGACTCTACTGTATGCTTAGCTGCCTGGGGAATTACTAAAAAGAAGAGCCAAGGGGTTTATCCTCACATTGGAGACAATTTATCAGTGAGCCTTCTCTTTTTGTTCAGAAAGACCCAGGTTTCATGGACACGGCTCCTTGGAAGCCAGCGTGTCTGTTTACCAGTTAGAACACTTTTGGCCTGGATGAACAGAATGCTCCTCTAGAAGTGGCTTAAACAACAAGGATTCATTTGTCTCACATAATGAGAAATCCCAAGTCAGGCAATCCTAAGGTTGGTGGAGTGGTCTAGTGATTTCACCATTCTGGTCTTTCCCTTAGAATTTCAATACGACTGCAACATAGCCCCATACAATACCCACCCTAAAGTCTCTTTTCCTTTTTTAAGCGACGGTGTGTCTCTCTATCACCAAAGAGGAAAGCTTTTCCATGAACCCCACATGCGCCCCCTCATGTATCTCATTGTCCAGGATTGTGTGACATTGGGCAGGAGTCGGGGGAAGCGAGGGTGTAGAATATTTACACTATCTGGTGGGAACAAGGAAGAAAAAGGTGGGCAACCAACAGTGTCTGCATGTGTGTGTGTGTGTGCACATGTGAGTAAGATGTATGGAGAGAAATCTAGGTTGGCTTTTTGTATGGACAAAGGCTCGCGCTTCCATATGAACTTGTACATGGACTTATACGGATGACCTGCCCCAGTGGAGGAGGAGGATGGCATTTGGGCTAAACTCGCCTTTGCTTCCTATGACACAGTCAGAACTTTGTATGTTGTTTTAGTTACTTGAAATTTTGTGATTTCAGGTTGAGTCCAGAAATCTTCCTGAAACGCCCTGTGGTTGAAGGAAATCGTTGGAGGTTGGACTACATTCTTAAACGAAAAGCAGTATGTACTTTCCGAACAAGTGCTGATGTGATTTCTTAAATGCTTATTGCCTCTTAAATGCCTTTTCTTTTTAAAGTCCTTCATGCATACTTATAACTTTTTTTTTAGAGTTGGATAGAAAAGTAGAATACTTTCTGTTTTCAAATTCAGTTGGTTCTGATTTTTTTCCTGTTGTTCTAAAATGCATAATATTTTAGCCTAATGCAAAGCATGATTTTTATTAGCAATTCTAATTTTTATTTTTTTAATCAGTTATGGGTAGTTAATTTTATAGTCAAAATTTGTGATAAAATTTTATTAATGGATAATAAAAGATGAAATAAAACATAGCATTTTTATTTTACTTACTATGCTGTTATTTGAGCAAAAGACAAAATTATCTGAGATTTCACTCAGATGGGGCCAAGCTGATGTTGAAGAATATCAAGGAAGAGGGACATTAAGAATTGGTGCTGTTCTATTTCAGTTTGGGGACAGTTCCTGGTAATAATGTGAAATTGTTTCCTGTGCAGTTGACCATGTAGATTCTGGGTGAGCACTGAGTGTGCTCTTTTTATTATAAAAAATAAATAACTGAATCAGTATAGCAGGTTCATCAAAGACTACTTTGCATGCATATTTCTAGTGAAATTTTTTATGTAGTTGTCCCTTAACCAAGTCAAATTAAGGTGAAGTAGAATAGAACTGGATTTCTTATTAATCACATTCAAATGGGGAATGCTAGCCTTTTTACTATTATTTGAAACTGTCTTAATCTTGTTTATTCTATCATTAAACATTCCTGCAGAATTTGTCGATCCTAAGTAATCGTGGATAGTATTTTACTATTCCTCACAGCCTACACTCGTTTCTTTTCCCCCATCCTTTCCATTCCCCTACCTCTTGCCCCACTCACCTTTTCCTTTCCCTTCAATGTCTTTTCCCCATGTTTTTACTTTAGGATTTTTGCAGATATCAAAATCTTTGATTTTTAGTATCTGAGCTCACTGCTAATATTGGAGACTGAAATTGGTCATCTTTATTTCAGACACATGTCTTGCCACACAGCATCATTTTCATGGCTAATCTAATGTGTTGTTTGAACAAAAGTCTATTCACCAAATTGGAAATTCTGGTCTTGAAAAGCATTATTTGCATAGTCATTAAATAATTTAGCATACAGTTATCTCCTGATCCACGTACTAGACTAATTACTAATTCGTGTATGAAAAGGATTCCATCTCTGCCCATGGAAGGCTTGCTCAAGGACTCACGCTCTGGGCTCAATCCTAGGATTACCAAATGTGTTTTTGTATGTTGAATGGGCTATAATTTTCTCCAGGAGTCAATCATACTAGTAAATCCTCTCCTTACAGTACTTATCCAACACTTTACTGTTTTAGCTTTCAATCAACATGCGTTTGCTGAATGCCTAGTGAGTGCAGGGCACTTGGATAATCATATGTGAACATACATAAATAAATAAGAAGCATGATTCTTGACCTGAAGAAGCTTAAAAATTTCCCCAAGAGTCAATTGAGTACAGAGATAGGGCCAAGATTCAAAGGCAGGAGGGAGAGCATTGGGTAAGTCTGGTGGGGAACTCCTCAGGACATGAGAGATTTAGGGCATTTAGAATGAGCAAAAAAATTAAAAAGAAGACGTTTCTAGATGTAGGAAATGGGGTGTGAAAACAGGAATTCAGAAGGCTTTGCCAGTCACAGTAAGGTGACAAGGTTGATTTCACCTGAGTGTTAGCACAGGTAGGATGGCGGATCAAGATAGAAAGGCAGGCTGCAGCTAGGACGTGAAAGGTTGATGATCCAAGCCAGTGGCTTGGGCTTTGTGGAGTACAGTGGGGATCTACTGGGATGGGGGTGTTATGGATGACGGGCGATCTGATCAAAGTGATGTGTTGGAAGGTGAATCTAGTAGTGGGAGGAAGTGGGACAAACTCAGATTTAAAGAGCTAAAGTTTAGCCCTAACCGGTTTGGCTCAGTGGATAGAGCGTTGGCCTGCGGACTCAAGGGTCCCAGGTTCAATTCCGGTCAAGGGCATGTACCTTGGCTGTGGGCACATCCCCAGTAAGAGGCAGCTGATCGATGTTTCTCTCTCATCGATGTTTCTAACTCTCTATCTCTCTCCCTTCCTCTCCGTAAAAAATCAATAAAAATATACAAAAAAGGGTGGGGGAGGATGGGGGTTAATGGGGGGGGATGAGGACACATTTGTAATTCCTTAACTAATAAAGAATTTAAAGATTTTAAAAATATATATATATATACAAAAAAAAGAGCTAAAGTTTAGATTATTTGAGTGTGAGATGCATATGGAACATCTAAGTAAACTCCAGAAAGTAGTCGATGCCAGAACAGGGCTCAGGAGGAAGATCCTGCAAGCCAGGCCCTCGACCTCATTTTCGCTGGCAGATGTTTGTTTATCCCCTTAGTGTACCTACCCAGTTTCCTTTTCTATCACAACCATGGCTTCTCTTTGCTTTTATTGCCTGTGAACCCCGGTAAGGTTCCAGGTGGACACCGGGGCCCAGTAATTATTATGGCCTGATAATGGTGCTTTATTTGAATTTTATCAGCTTCCTGAAACTTGTGATTTTTGAATTGTAGATAATGATTTTTAAAATTTCATAAGGAGATAGTAATGCTGTTAAATATTAACTTCTCAGTGGGTCATTTAGCAGAATTGCTCTTCTGTAATCTAGCTATGGCATATTATTAATTTGGTCATGCCTTTTTAACACTTGGATCATTCCAAATTGACATTTCATATGCTTATGAACAGTTTCATATAAATAATTGTTTCTGAAAGCCACTAATTTCACAAAGTAGTGGGTTGATAACATTATTTTTGCATTAACAGGTCCCAGAGGTTCATAAGGTTGATTTAAATAAGTGATTTTTTTTCCTTCCATTTGATTGTGCAGATTTTAGGGAAGGAACTTAGTGTTTCTGCCTCATAGCCAACATATAGGCAAACATCTCTTAAAATGGCTGTTTCTTAGGGGGAAAATACAATATTTTGTTTCTCTGTAATGACCGAGTTGATATTTCCCTGTCTCTTTGGTCTTCTGATATGCAATGTTACTATTTAAAATAGTCTAAGCTAACCTTGAGAGGCAGAGTGTTTGCAATTCAAATCAACATCCCAAGGTTTCCCACAGTCCTGCATTGTCTACACTAAGAGGTGAGATAATTAGCTTCACGGTTATGGTAACTATATCCTTGTACCCAATTGGTATATTTCAACCTTAGCGATATGTAATACTTCTCATGAGACTTTCACCAAAAGAATCTTCAAGCACAGCAACCTGGGGGCTTACAGAACAAGGTGTAGGTCCTCAGGGGGCTTTTGTCATCTGGTTCATTTCTTACTGTCCCAGATCACAGGGCACATTCTAGAGTGGCAGTCTGTGAGCAATGGGAGAGAGGGATGTCCAGGGTTATCAAATGAGATAAATAATCATATCTCTGCCCAGAAAAATCAGAGAGAATCTTATCAAAGTGGTGACCTGGAAGGGCATGGCAGGGAAGGGAGAAGACATGTCCAACTTTGAGGTCTGTGCTTTAGACAAAACTGGTTAAAAAAGAAAACAACGAAACAACTCACAAGCATTTGTGATCTTACATCCCAATGCTGCCTGCAATTAACTGGCAAGGACATGGATTTTTTTCATTCCACCCCTGGGGAATTCTTGGACAAGTGATAAAATCCGCGATTAGCCTGTGGAACTGTAAGCTAAGCTCTCTTCAAGCAATGGACAGACCTGGCTGCATCCAGGAAATATTTTGACCACAGTACTTGGAACAACCTGAGAAAACGCTGGCTCAGAAACAAAGTCTCTTGATTTCAACTCTGAAAAATGTTTATGTGTTTTGTTTTTGCATGTGTGATGTGTATCTAAAACTCCTAAAGCTTCCTACTGCTGACAGTATTGTGTCTGTTCTACTTGAGTAAAAGCAAATTAGAAAAGAGGGCAGAACGTTCATCTTTGGAAATTCAAGTTTGATGACATTGACTCTGTGGAACCTTCTGGCTAGTTGACTTGAGTAGAGATAAGAAACATGGTGTTGCGCAGTCAAATCCCAGCCATTCCTTTGTTTTCCTACTTCCCCTATTAATACTTTCCTTCCACCTCTCCTAGCAAAAGTCGGTAAAAGGCATTAGAAAAACATTGGCTGTTTGAAAAGTGTATTTTTTTAAATTACAGAGTTAATATTAGTCCTTTTGTTTTCTTTCTAATTTGGATTTCATTTTGCATAAATATTCCCCACATTTGTATAAGTCTCCACAATTATGACCCAGGAAATGCCTTTGTTCCCAAGGAACATTTTTTCCTTTGCCGTTTAGAGTTTATGGGAGTGTTGCAATGCATTGACCAAAAGAAGAGTTTTATTGCTTTATTATCACAGAAGTCTCGTCACTAATTAGCTGTTTATTGTAGATGTGAGTAAATAATTGTAAGCCAGACTGCATAAAAATGAACTTTTTATATTTAATTACTTCCTTATTAGTCATTTGTATTTAAGCTAAAAAGACTCAAGGTCTCTACCCTATTTCCTCTAGAGTTCATTGATTTCAATGATTAAAGACACAGTAAGAAGAAAATGTCAGGTATGATAGATGGAGGGTAATAATGTAATCCATTAGCGTTAACATCTCCATTATTTCAAAAATCCATTCGTTATGCAGGTAAATGGAAAATTGTAAGATTCAGGCCAGTTCCTAAGTTGTGACTACTTTTCTTATGAGTGAGTAATAATCTCATAGGCTAAGGAGCAGAATTTCATCCATTCGAAAGAAATCAACCATGATGAAAGATATCAGCTGTAATGTACTATAACTTAGGTGGAAATTTTAGGTTTTAAACTTTATATCTTTCAATGGGAGGCTATTTTTTGGTAGCTGTTATTCAGTGCTGAATCCTAAATATTCAAATAGCAAAGTAAACCGGAACAATAGAGGAGAAAAATAACATAATGTTCTTGTTTTCCTTTAGAGCCCTCAGCCAGTGATTCACAGCTGAGCACTCAGTGGCCAGAGCAGTAGACATTAATCTGTTCACTTCTTGTCTACACTTTCACTTCCTGATCTCTTTACTCCAATAATAGTTACATCATTATAACAAATAATGAGCAAGTTCCAAAAGTCTGCTGGTAACCAGGGAAATAGAATGACTACTTTTTTTTCAGAGCAAGAGTTAATCTTCTCCTAGTACTCACATTTCCTCAATGCAGCCCAGACTGTGAATCTAGTGTGTCCCTTCAAAAATATATACACTTCTTAGATAATACTAACGTCAAGAAAGTTAAATTATTAGTATTATGAATATGTTATTATAAGGCTTTAGGGGCCAAAATAATACTTCTTGGTACTGGCAGAACAATATTTGGGAATTGTATATGTGTTTGGTTTACTCCAAGTTTTGACATCCTGCAACCTAAAATACAAACTTCTATATTATTTTCCATTTTAAATATATTTGTATTGATTTCAGAGAGGAAGGGAGAGGGAGAGAGAGATAGAAACATCAATGTTGAGAGAGGATCATTGATCAGCTGCCTCCTACACACCCCACACTGGGGATGAAGCCCGCAACCCTGGCATATGCCCTAACTGGGAATCAAACCATGACCTCCTGGTTCATAGGTCAACCCTCAACCACTGAGCCATTTATGACTCAAATTTCCATGATAAACAATGCCTAATTATCATGGATTATTCATTTACACTCCAAATTATTCTCTGCCACTATAATTTATTAGATATGCCTACATCTCTAATAATTTAGGAAGTATTATGAAATATTTCTTATGGTCTAATCTCTGGGATATTAAGTGCCTACTTTAGATACATTATTCAATATGTGTGCAATATGTTTCAGAATGCTTTCAGAGCTGCTGGAAATAGAGAGTGCAAATTTAAATGCTGCAAACTTCACAGCAATACTGAGGATGCACACCTAAAAAGTAAAAACATAGCACAGGAAGTGGGGGTAAATGAGACAAGAGTGTCCTGGATAAGTACATTCTGACCTATATGTTGAGGGGGAACCATCTGAGTGGACATGGAGAAGGGGAGGGATGTTCGGGGGCGGGGCAATTTAGCAAAGGCTGAAACCTTGTCACCACCCAGAACTAGAAAAGGAGGTACTGCTACTTCTTTGTACTACCAGTTGCTGAACATTCTCCTTTTTGATGGTTAATATTAATAATAAATGTTATTTCTATAACATTTAAAGTTTTCCAGACACCTTTGATTTAATTTGACCCTCCTAATGGCCTTGTCTATTTTCTTTTAGCTCCAAGTGTTCGTTTGTGTGACACTGCTAAAATTCTGGGATTTTTGAATGTTAGAGAAGATGACTTCTGAAGTCATTTCACTGGTGAAATCAACATTAATGATTCAATTATGGGTTAAAAGTGTGAACCAATACATTTATCTCCTAAAAATTAAGAAATGTGCCCTGGCCAGTTTGGTTCAGTGATTAGAGCTTTGGCCCTTAGACTGAAGGGTTTGATTTTAGTCAGGAGGCAACCAATCACACATCAATTTATCCATTTTAATAATTTTTTTATTTTTAAAGAAAAATTTTAGCCCAGCAGGTATGGCTCAGTGGTTGAGTATTGACCTACCAACTAGTAGGTCATTGTTCGATTCCAGGTCAGGGTGCATGCCTGGGTTGCGGGCTCGATCCCCAGCATGGGGTGTGAAGGAGGCAGATGATAAATGATTCTCCCTCATCATAAATGTTTCTAATTCTCTCTCCCTCTTCCTTTCTTTCTGAAATAAATAAAAAACAAAATTAAAAAAAAAAAAAAACAAACAACAAAAAATTCTATGAAACATACCCCAGGAACATTAAGGGATATTTAGTTTAAATTATAACAGAGGTTTGTTTTTAATCACTTCAACAGTTGAAGTACAAAAAAACAAACAAACAAACAACCCTAAACCTGTAACATGAATCAGATCAAAGCTTTCTAAATGATATGTGTTTGGAAACGTTCTCAGGTGTAAGACTATGAGACACTTTTAGTAGTTGAGATTGTAATTTCAAGGTTCTGTCTCTAGTCAAATATTGACACTGTCTTGGCATAACAAATTGTAGGAACGGAAGAAAGATAATATTTATTTTTTACATCTGGGTCTTAATATACATACATTTTCGTTTCACCTTCCTTGTATTGTGTTGTTCATTAAATATTTTACTATACTTGTTTATAGAAGAAATTTTAGAAAATATAGTGCGCAGAAAGGAAGAAGAAAAAGAAAACCATAATCTACCTACAGAAATTCTCATTCCTGCCTGTGTTTTCTCCTGTGACAGCAAGAGGGGGTGAGGATCTTCATAATACTGTACAAAGAGGTGGAACTTGCACTTGGAATAAACAGTGAATACAGCAAGAAGACTTTAATGCGTCTACACCCCAACATAAAGGTATTCAGGTTCATCTTGCTGAACCATGTTTCTTCTTTATTATTCTGTAGTTTTTCAGGTTTATTTTGCTCTGAGCAGTGGTAATGTGTAGAATTTCCTAATGTATATATTGAATAAATAGGATTGTGTTCTCAGAAATAAAAGAAAATACTATAATTTTTTTAAATACTTCTAATATTGATGGAGTCAACAAGGGTCACATTTCTGCTTTTCTCACCCTGACTAGAGGCCTGCTGCACAAAATTCACGCACCAGTAGGGTCCCTAGGCCTGGCCGACGATCAGGGTCGATCAGGGCCTTCTGGCTGATGGCTGGGGCCTCCCTTTCCCAGCTGCTGGCTGCCAGCTGGGGCCTTGCTTCGTTCCGCACCACCCCCTGGTGGTCAGTGCACATCATAGCAAGCGATCGAACTCCCAGTCTTCTGGTCAAACTCCCAAGGGGACACTTTGCATATTAGCCTTTTATATATATAGATTATATATATAGATAATTTAGTTAAGAGCACACTCCCTAGATTTGTTTTGAGGCCTGTCAAGTTTCCATTCTCATTAAGATGATCCTAGAATCTCTAAAATGTGATCTCCCTGTGGCATCCCTTGAATACTGATAGCAACAAAGACTTAAGGACTTAAAGTACTTTTCTTTTAAAAAAATATTTTTTATTCATTTCAGAGAGGAAGGGAGAGGGAGAGAGAGATGGAAACATCAATGATAAGAGAGAATCATTGATCAGCTGCCTCCTGCATGCCCCACACTGGGAATCAAGCCCACAACCCGGGCATGTGCCCTGACCGGGAATAGAACTCTGACCTCCTGGTTCATAGATCGATGTTCAGCCACTGAGCCATGCCAGCCAGGCCTTAAAGTACTTTTCTTAATGACATCTTGTTATTTGATATTTTACTAAAGACCTAAAGCTTATCAATAAATATTTCCCAGTCAGCCCTGGCCAGTGTTCTCAGTGGTTAGAACATCAGCCCATGCACCAAAGGGTCTTGGGTTCCATTCCTGCATTAGAGAGAATTCTTTACAAGCAGAAAGTTAATAACTCCTCAAAGTACCCTTCAAATTAAGAGTTGCCAAAATATCTATCTCCCTATATTCATATGCTTCCTATTTTGACTCCATGGCTGCCAAAAGATCAATATAGTTATTTAAAAACTAGAGGCCTGATGCACGAAATTCATGCACGGGGGGGGGGGGGGGGTCCCCTCCGCCCAGGCTGCACCCTCTCCAATCTGGGACCCCTCGGGGGATGTCCAACTGCCCATTTAGGCCCGATCCCTCTCCAATCTGGGACCCCTCGAGGGATGTCCAACTGCCCGTTTTGGCCCGATCCCTCTCCAATCTGGGACATTCCTCTCACAATCCAGGACCGCTGGCTCCCAACTGCTCTCCTGCCTGCCTGCCTGATTGCCCCTAACCGCTTCTCCCTGCCAGCCTGATCCACCCATAACCACTCCCTTGCCAGCCTGATTGATGCCTAACTGTACCCCTGCCAGCCTGGTAGCCCTTAATTGCCCTCCCTTTCAGGCCTGGTCCCCCCCAACTGCCCTCTCCTGCTGGCCATCTTGTGTCCACATGGGGGCGGCCATCTTGTATGTTGGAATGATGGTCAATTTGCATATTACCTCTTTATGATATAGGATTTGCCACAGATAGAGATGTTGTTTAAACATTTTTAGAGTTTTGTTTTTTTTAAATAATACCAGATATATCCTTTTAGGGGGGAAAGGGAATTAGCTATTTCTTTGAGCTGACTTTTATAAGAATATGTGCCCAAGCTTCAAGCTAAATGGCAGTTGCCCCAAAATGTAGAATGAGTGAGGGTGGGGGAGGCTTCAGATGTAACTAGGAGTCTTCCCAGTTAAATACTGAGAATAAAAGGTGAAGTTTGGGGATTTTCTTTGGTGTATACAGAGCCCATTTTGGTATTTGAATTATAGAAAATGCTACTCAGGGGTGAAAACAGAAGGTCATTTAAAAAATCATGTTACATATGCAATTTTTTCCTCTTAAGGTGATGAGGCACCCAGATCACGTGTCGTCCGCCGTATATCTGTGGGCTCATCATGAGAAACTTGTCATCATCGACCAGTCAGTGGCCTTTGTAGGCGGGATCGATCTGGCCTATGGCAGGTGGGATGACAATGAGCACAGACTCACGGACGTGGGCAGCGTGAAGCGTGTCATCTCTGGACCGTCTCTGTGTTCCCTCCCAGTGAGTAATGTCATCTTTACAGAACTGCATAAGAGGGACACAGTTTGTGTAAATATATATGACTAGCGGCCCGGTGCACGTGGGGTCCCTCACTGTGGCCCACTGGGATTGGGCCGAAACCCGCAGTCCAACATCCCCTGAGGGATGTAGTAGTGCGGGAAGTGGCAGGCGACTGGGGAGGAGCCTGGGCTGGGTGCCTTGCCACTCCCGCTCATCCTGGCCCCACTGCACCTGCCACCACTGGGTAGGCTCGCTGCTGCTCCTCTGCAGTTTCTGCGCACCCATCCTAGGGTGATACTGGTGCGCCCATGACCGAGAAGTGGCCGCAGGCTCGCGCCCAGTCAATACCGATGCTGGTCTGGATCCTGGTTCCAGTCCAGATGGGGGACGGGTGCACAGGGGGAGTATCCGTGGGAGAGGTTCACACCACCACAGCTGCACTCGCCAATCGTGAGCCCGGCATCTGGCGCCCCTCAGTCAGAGGAGCACTCCCGCTGTGGGAACACACTGACCACCAGGGGGCAGCTCCTGCATTGAGCATCTGCCCCCTGGTGGTCAGTGCATGTCATAGCAACTGGTTGAACGGTTGAATAGTCGAATAGTCGCTTAGGCTTTTATATATATAGACTAGAGGCCCAGTGCATGAAATTTGTGCACAAGTAGGGTCCCTAGCGGCTGTCAGCCTCCCTTCCCCGGCTACCGGCTGCTGGCTGCTGGCCAGGGCCTTCCTTTTTTCCGTGCCACCCCTTGGTGGTCAGTGCATGTCATAGCGAGCGATAGAACTCCCAGTCAGTCGAACTCCTGAGGGCACACTTGGCATATTAGGCTTTTATATAGATAGATAGCCTGACTGATTGATTGAACAAGAGTGACATTGAGTCAAACATAGACACACCTGGTTTGTTTCTTCTCTTGTAAGAAGAGAAAATAGATTCAATGGAGCATCTGCTCTCTCATACTCCACTCCTTTGTTGTCCATTTAAATTAAAGATTTATTTGCTATTAGGAAAACAGTTTATTAACAAAAATGTACAGCAATTGAACTTTAAGTTAAATAAGCTGCCTTATTATATGCAGGTAACTGCCAAAGTTTTTGGCATCTTCCTACTTAAAGATGTATAAAATAGGATAGGTAATTCTATTTGAAAGTAGGAGGTTAATAACTTCACCAACTACCTTTAAACCAAGAGCTGCCAAAATATATCTATATGCCTATATTCATATATTTATTATCTCAACTCAAGTGGTTGCCAAAATATCAACATACTTATTAAAGAAGTTGATGGGCTTCATCCTATTTTACTGCTGGCTATGTTGGTACTTTTTCTGGGAAAACTGAAATGTGGTGAATTGGTTACAGGGAGGATAATTGACAGAAAAAAAGCATTGCTTACTTAATATTTAGCAGAGAAAGTTCAGTGGCTCAACAGTGAGCGTAACTTATATAATTGTTAAGACAATTCATTGGTATAAAATTTCAGGAATTTGGCCTGAAAGAGTACCCACGCTGGAATGCCTGCTGTTCCTTTGGCAGTATTTAAAGCCTTCACAAGAATCCCTACTGCCCTGCGGCTGACCTCACACCTTATTGTGTGTCTGTTAAAAACTTCTGTCCTGTGCCAACTTTACACCTCACCCTACTGGAATGAAAGGGCCACAGCGCAGTGTATTTGATGCGGTGTCTTTTTGTTTTGTTTTGTTTTGTTTTTAATAGTCTTCACAGGCTGAAATAACAGAATCTATGGAATCCTTAAGCCTCAAAGATAAAAAGGAGTCTGCTAAAAATCTGCCCATCCTGAAGACTGCTGATGATATGGATTCAAAACTGAAAGGCATAGGCAAACCCAGCAAGTTCTCCAAATTCAGCCTCTACAGGCAGTTGCACAGGCACCACCTGCACGGCTCCGACAGCCTCAGCAGCATCGACAGTGCCTCCAGTAAGTTGCCGTCGTGGCTAGACCTGATTGGGACCACACTCTGTGGCCTCCGTAGCCAGACACTGCACCCCTGTTTTGAGAATCTACCTTTCTATGGTGGGGTAAATGGATCAATGCCGAAAGGTCACTAGATCATCTTATTCAACATCTTGCCGTCGCATGGCCTTGTCGGCCTCATTGTAGAACAGATTTATTCCTTTATTCACACGAGTCATCATAACAAACACAAGTCGTGCTTCTGATGGTAGCAGAATGACTAAGCATGGATAAAATAATGGCCAATTATAAAGGCAAAAGAAAAGTATTAGGTATACTCTATACTTTTTTTTTTAGAAAAACAATATTTCATTTCTCGTCCCATCCAGAAATACAACAAGCATTTCTCCTCAAACATCAGATTTTCTGCATCTTAGAAATGTGCTGTTCTTTTTTATCCTTGCAATGTCCTGTGACCCAGGACTTGTGACTGCTTTGATCGCCTTGCCTCGTTTTAAAAATGATCACACCTGCTTTCCAGTCTAGAAAACCTGATATATGTGTTTCTTTGTAACAAACAAGCAAGCAACCAAAAACACTCTCAACTTTCTCCAGGTTATTGTAATCACTGTAGGAGTCGTCAGAATTTAATCCATGGTTTAAAGCCCCACTTGAAACTCTTTCGCTCTTCCAGTGGTTCTGAGCAGGGGCTCCCTAGACCTGCCATAGGTAAGTGACGCGTGAAGCAGCAGCACCTTCCCAGGCTTCAGCTTGTGCTGCATGGCCAGTGAGTGTGTTTCTGGATTGTCTTTCTGTCCACACAGTTTGCACACCACACATATGGAGAGCCACGCCTGGGGGGAGCCCACGGGATTCCTACACTTCTAGCACTGAGATGAAACATAACCTAAGAAGGGTACAGCGCGGGGCACCTGCAGCTCAGTGGTGTTTTAGTTCTGTGGAGGGTGGGAGGGCTTCTCTGACGATCCAGAAAGACGTTCTTGAGGAGGGGACATTGGGGTTAGGTTTGGAAGGAATGTCATTGGGTAGGTGAGGATATGAAGACATTGCAGGTGAAGGAAATGAGGTAACGGGATGGGAAAGGGCCAAGTGCTTCCAAACGTTAGAAAATGTATCGTTCGGTTGCTATGACCAGGAAGAGAAGCGGCAGTCACATCTGAACTCCCCAACATCAATAAAGGAGTCATGCTCTAAAGGTGAATTTTCAGAAATTGTAATCTGATAACCTGTTGTAAGAAGAACCACACACTTGAGGAATACATGATCAGGCCTAATTTATGACGGTGGGAATGAAAAGGATTTGGCAATGGATCAGATAGAGGGACAAGTTGTCCGATAATATGTAGCAACCACAGTAAAACCTCAGGCTAGTGTTTATGATATGCAGGCTCTCTGAGGTCAGTGCCGGGAGCACCTGTGGTGTTATCTCCTTTTTACAGATGAGGTAACCCAGGTCCAGAGGTGATAAGTGACTTGCGCAGTGAAGCTCCCGTTCAGCCCTCCCAGCGCCCATGGTTGGGATTTGTGATTGAGCAGAAGTGCAGATTGCTGCGTCACGACCTTTGGATCTAGTGGCCTGTGGAGATGGCCGAGTTGGAACTCAGCTAACAGGGCTGGATGTGAGTCACCCCTGGTGGCAGAAACTAAAGAACCCAATGAATTAAGCTGGACCTTGAGCAGTGGTGCCCAGCATTCTTTAGTCTGGGGACTTTGCATTTTAAAAACTGATTGCTCTAATGTCATTGTTAAATAAATTTGTATGTTGTAAATCATAACATTGACAGACATTAAAAAATGGAGAAAACTGTAGATGAAGAGACATTTATTTAGAGTAAGGTTAGTACTTGATGCGTATGTGGGCTCAGGACGGCTCCCAGTGATTCCTGGGCTTGACGGAGCTTCAAAGCCCTGAGACAGGGGCCGGGAGACCCCTGGGAAGTCCAAAGAGCCAGGTGATGGGCGAATGCAGGGTCAGACATTAAAGGTAAAGAGGTGGAAACAGGCCCAGGTAGTGCTTTGTGATTCCACTTGTGACTTTGCTGCTTTAAGACTGAAGTTAGAAATGAGAAGGAGGAACGAGGTTGCCGAGCCATGACGTTGGGGGCTCTGAGTCATGACTGAGTGTCTGTGTCGCTGGCAGTAGGATAAGGAGTGGGAAAGCAGATGCAGGCAGGAGCTGAGAAACTCTGGCTAGTGTCAGGCTGAGCAAGCCGATACCCATGGAGGTGACCTGAGGACACCCATGGGTGGTTTCCAGGTGCTCATGGGAGCCTCCTCCCTAATAAACTGGATATATGTCCAGTGCAGCATTGTTTTATTGAGAGAGAGAGAGAGAGAGAGAGAAAGTAAACAACCTAAATATCCAAGACATTAAAAATGGAGGAAACTGAAGATGAGGAGACATTTTATTTATTTAGCATAAAGCATGTACTTGATGTATATGCAGGTTCAGGATGACGCCCACATATGCATCAGAATCAGAAGAACATACTGAGTGTTTCATCCCCTTGAGGGATTGTGCTCTTCTGTAAACTGTCAGTGGGGATATAAAAATAAATGTATAGAATTAATTTGTTTCATTAAATAAGTACTTATTAAGCTCCTGGTATATGCCAATCACTGTTCCAAGTATTAGGGATCTGCAGTGAACAAAACAGATGAAATTCACTTAACTAGTTGGATGTTAAGGATGGGAATTCTATCTAATAAAGAGGGACTATGCTGATTGACCCTCACGCCGTCACAAAGATGGCAGCGCCCACAGCCAATAAGGAGGGAATATGCTAATTGACTGCCCTGCCCTCAAAGATTGCAGTGCCCACAGCCACAAGATGGCTGGCAGGGGAGGAGGGCAGTTGTGGGCTATTAGGGGAGGGGAGGGCAGTTAGGGGCGACCAGGCCAACAGGGGAGGGCAGTTAGCAGTGATCGGGCCTGCAGGGGAGGGCAATTAGGAGTGACCGGGCCTGCAAAGGAGGGCAGTTAGGGGCGATTGGGCCTTCAGGGGAGCAGTTAGGCATCAATCAGGCTGGCAGGGGAGTGGTTAGGGGGCTGATCAGGCTGGCAGGCAGAAGTGGTTAGGGGCAATCAGGCAGGCAGGCAGGTGAGCAGCTGGGAGTCAGCAGTCCTGGATTGTAGAGGGGTCCCAGATTGGAGAGGGTGCAGGCTGGGCTGAGGGACACTCCCCCACCCCAGTGCATGAATTTCGTGCACCGGGTATCAAACACAACATATCAGGTGGTGAGAATTATCATGGAGAACAGGGGAAGGGGGACAGACAGAGGGGAGGAATTACTATTTTATATCGAGTGGTCAGAAAATTCTTCTCTAATGAGGTGAGTTTTTAAAAGAGATCAAAAGGAAGAGAAGAATGAGGCTAAGAGAAGATCTGGGTGGAAGGGGTCCCAGCCAGAGGAATAGCAAGTGTGAGGGCAGAGAGGCAGGAGGGGATCAGTGTTTCCAGGACTGGGCTGGGGGACCAGGAAGGGGGCAAAGTCCGAGAGGGCTGGGTCAATTACATAAGGTCTTTCAGCCCTTGTAAGGGTCTTGGCTTTCCCTTTGAGTGAGATGGAAAGTCATCAGAAGGTCCTGAGCAGAGGAGGAACAAGGTCTGACTTAGATTTTTACAGGCACATTCTTCACAGCAGACCTGGGTGGCAAGTAGTGACACATCTTGAGGTGGTGCTCATGGCATTTGCTGATGCCCTGCATGTGGGATGTGAGAGATGGAGAGGACTCTTTCCATGAATTATGTTAAATTGCAGCTTTAATTTTTTAATATGAAAAAAAAATTTATGTAAAAAAGGAAGCTCCTTCTGGAGCAGTGCTTTTCAAAGCCTGTTCCTTGGGCCCTGATGTTTCTCAGGGGTCCTGCAGAGGATACTGAGCAGATGGGCCCCAGACCTCCCACCTCTGTTGATATTTGATTCAACCAGAACCATCCTGCTTGTACTTATTTATGTATTGGAGTTCTGTGTGAATTTGCATTGAAAAAAAAGTAAGTTTCCACTATTAGTAATAAAGGAAGTTTAAAGAACATAGCTCTGTATTTAAATCACATAATGACTTAAACCTATATTGTTTTATAGGACTTGAAACATAAATCAAGCATAGAGTAACTCTTTATTAGAAACTAGAGGCCCGGTGCACAAAATTTCATGTACTGGGGGGGGGGGTGTCCCTCAGCCTGGCCTGCACCCTCTCGCAGTCCAGGACCCCTCAGGGGATGTCCACCTGCTGGCTTAGGCCTGCTCCCCAGGGTATTGAGCCTAAGCTGGCAGTCAGATATCCTTCTGGCAGCCCAGGAGCCCTCGGGGGATGTTTGACTGATAGCTTAGGCGGGGTGCGGGCCTAACCCACAGTCAGACATCCTTAGCACTGCTGAGGAAGTGGGAGAGGCTCCCACCACCGCCACTGTGCTCACAGTCATCAGCCTGGCTTATGGCTGAGCAGAGCTCCCCCTGTGGGAGTGCACTGACCACCAGGGGGCAGCTCCTGCATTGAGTGTCTGCTCCCTGGGGGTCAGTGCACGTCATAGTGACTGGTCATTCCTGGTCATTCTGCCATTAGAGCCAATTTGCATATTACCCTTTTATTATATAGGATTAGAAACTGAATTTTGCTGAGTTAATAACTTGCTTTTTAGAGGCAGTGAATTGTGGTAGCTTCTTTGCAGTGTCAGTTTCCCTGGAATGCATGAAGCCATGGGGAACCCGCGCCCAGTGAATCTTATGCATGGTGCACGCAGTCAGTATGGAGTGTGCACGCAAGATCACTATGAGTTTTCAAGCAGAAAAACTGCACCAGAATCCATTCATCTTAAATGTGATTAGTAACTATGGTAGATTTCTGTAGTATATATTGTAATTCAAAATCAGTCAGCCATCTTCAAGATGTCTTTTTTTTTCTTTTTCAAAATTATATTGCAAGAGGGAGAATTTCAAATTGGCATTTCTTTGATTGAGACTCTGTCATTTGAATTTTACTCCTCTTATATTCAGTGACTGTTGCTATCTTTTTCATTTAAGCAAAAATTAGACAGCTGAGGGGGGAAGTCATTTTTGCAATTAAGTTGAGACAGGTGTTTCTGTCGACGTAAGAGACGTTCAAACCTGTAGAGAATTTTTATGAGTTTATCTGAGTCAAACTGACAGTAATTGCCAGGAAGCAAAACCTCAATGGATTGAGGAAGTGGTCTGGAGAATGGCAGTTTTGCAGTTAATCTTATACATTACAATTAAAGCAGGAGGCGTGAGGAGGGTCACATGAAATCCATCCGTGACCGATTAGGGAGGCAGGAGAAAGCAAGGCGGGGAAATCTCTGAGATTGGATAAAGAGTAAAATGAAGAGACAAATTCTTGTGTTACTGTGATTACTGTTCAGAGTTGTATGAGCACCAATGAGGGGGCAGGGACACACCCTTTCCCTAAACTTTTGCAGCCAGAGTCCGGGCCACTGAGGAATGAGGATTGCAGGAAACTGGCATGAAAAACCTGTGCTGGACAACAAGGCAGGTGAATTATGAAATCAACTGGGAGACAGATACAGACTGAGAGCTCCTCAGATCGGCGTTGCTGATCTTAAACATCCTGTCTTCCTGCTCATTGGTGCTCATACAACTCTGAGCAGTAATCACAGTAACTATGAGCATTTGGCTCTTTTGCCTTAATATTTCATTTGTTCTTAGGAGGGCCCTGATTTGTTTGGAAAAGTTTAGGCCAGTGGTCAGCAAACTCATTAGTCAACAGAGCCAAATATCAACAGTACAACGATTGAAATTTCTTTTGAGAGCCAAATTTTTAAAACTTAAACTATATAGGTAGGTACATTGTTATTAACTTAATTAGGGTACTCCTAAGCTGGCCTTTGCTAAAAACGTCCTCAATCTGATTGAGGTACGTTCGCTGAGGTCGACCCCTTCCAACTCTCCCATCCACACTCGTCTTGTATACTTGTTTCGTCTATCACTAGCACTAACCACTGCACAATGAGACTGCTGACTGACTGGCTCACTCAGCTCATGCATGAATCGTGCACGCCTCCCTCGCACTGCGTGTCCCGCAGCCCGCCTGCGCCGTGTTCTGTCGCCCCACTGACTGACCGATTACCACCCCTTCCCCGCGCCCCCCCCCCCCCCCCCGCTTCTTCTAACGCCACTTCTTCAAAATAGACTCGCCCAGGCTGCCACTTTAGGCCATGACTAAAAACAAATTTGAATTATGAGCAGGTTGAATTCAATTAACACCGAGACAATTTTCTGAATCGAAGAATTCTCTTGGTTTTGTTTTTCTTATAATAACTGATAGTTAGGTGAAAGATAATTTTTAAGCAACTGTATGTGTGTATATGTAAAACTATAGCTTTAGAGTTTTTCAATGGATAAAAACAAATTTTATATACCTATGCCTTTTTTTTTAATTTGGAATTTGTCTCATTATTTATCTCACTCTTGTCTCTTTTTTCTTTCTTTTATTTTATTTTTTAACAAAGTTCCATGCTTACTATAAAGAGCCTGCAGGTGAGCAAACAGACCTGCCAGTACTTTGGCCTCTCAGTCTTATTGAGCAGGAAAATAAATCGCTGGGAGAAGTCAATAGAATTCTATCTTTAACATTTCAGTTTCGCTCATATTTAGCACTTTACGACAATTTCAATAACCATGGAAGGCTAATTATTCCATTTGAGCTAGAATATTCATGGGGTGATTGCTTAAAAACCTTTGTTCTGGAAATACTTACTGAGTGCCCGGAGCTACACCAGGAGGGCGGGGATACACTCCCCACCCGGAGGAGTTTATATAGGGTGTCCCAAAATTCACGCAAGAAGTAATTTTGACAGAAAACACATGTTTATAATTAAAAATTGTAAATTGTTTATTGATTCATAAAGTATACAGTATAGGGTTATGTATGGAATAGCACATCGGGTAAATGGCCTCCACGGCTTTGCTGGCATATACGCGAAGCCATGGTCTTCATTGGTCTTCATTGTCCCTGCTCCTGGGCCATCATTGGTACTTGGTAATGCTTATCAAATTGAAGGGGTTGAAATCAAAGGGCAACAGATATTAGAATCTGATTCAATAAACCAAGTAAAATTAGGCTTTTATTTTTGTTGTTGTTGTTAATGCTCACGCAAAATTCAAATCTTGAGTGAATTTTGGGACACCCTATAGATGAGTGGGGGCAGGGAGGGAGCATCCTTACACAATTGTATCACAAAATCAGAGGCACTGGGGTGTGCAACTATTAATGGTTCTATAGCAGAGCTAGTGACTGTCTGTCCCTACTAGGACCTGGGGGTGTCTCTAGAGCATATGACAGCTATGTGGCTCTTGAAGGATGATGAGATCAGGCTGGGAGGGAAGGACCAGCATCCCAGGCAGAAGGAAAAATGTGACAACTGGACAGAGACATGATAGACCAGCCTGTCAAAACACAGTGAGGCACGTGATGGGCATGGGGCCTGGGCTGTATGGGGAAGAGCAAAGACCGGAGAAAGAGAGATTGGTACCCCGTTTGGAGTCTTCTATGCACACGAAACCCTTAGTATTTGACCCTGTGTAGGCAGTAGGTAATCCTGGAAGGCTTTTAAGCAAGGAGTCTGCAGTTTGAAAAGACAGTTCTGGGACAGTGTGGTGGTAGGGGGACCAGTTCAGTACTCTCACTGGCTACCTGGCTTCTGCATGTGGTACCTTCTATTCATTCAACAAATATTTTTGCTACCGATGTCTATATGTTAAATGCTTCTTTTGTGCTAAGCCCTACATCTGTGATTTGTAGTTCTGCTAGTCTTCCTGCTTAGTTGTCTCAATGGCCAATATAGCCAATTTCAGTCAAAGTATTGGCCCCTGAGTAACATTGTCCCGCAAAGCTCTTTGTGAAGTGTTGCAGTAAATGGCTGCTTTTGTGCATGTATAGTCATAACCCTCTAGTCTGCTGTTGTGATGACTTTTATGGTTGTCATTTATGATTTCGGGAATATAGAATGTTAGAGCCTGAAAATCTTGGATGTCATCTAGACCAAATTCTTCGTTAATGGTGATGTTCACTTAGCTCAGTGATGGCGAACCTTTTGAGTTCGGCGTGTCAGCATTTTGAAAAACCCTAACTTAACTCTGGTGCTGTGTCACATATAGAAATTTTTTGATATTTGCAAGCATAGTAAAACAAAGACTTATATTTTTGATATTTATTTTATATATTTAAATGCCATTTAACAAAAAAACAATCAACCAAAAAGATGAGTTCCCGTGTCACCTCTGACACGCGTGTCATAGGTTCGCCATCACTGACTTAGCTGGTTAATTCCAGGGCTGGAATGTGGGCTGTTTGCATATTTGAGGTTCTTTCTTTCTGAGATGCAAAGGACAAGACTTCCATATTAGGTGTTTGCCACATTGACTGAGGAACGAGAAGGGCATGACTTCTTTCTATCCTCTGTATCTATGCTAACATACAGGTCTCATGTTTCCCTACCTGACCCAGGGTTTTACTACTCTCTCATAGTCCCTCCTAGCAAGTTCTTGATTCACAGTTAACCCTGTGGTCCTTTCTTCCAGTGAGATGATAGATGGTAAACCTAAGAATGTTAAATTTCATTGTCACATGCGAACCTGGTTATAGCCCCAGCTGCCCACTACTAATAAACTTAAGGGTTATAAAACCTTGTCACCCCTCAGCCTCAGATAGAGTAGGGATATTCTGCCCTAGTACTGAGTCTCAAGAAGGAAAGGTAAGAAGTCTAGAGGAGTTTTGTAAATGAGAGCTGAGCCTCCCTCCCTGTGGCCCACCTGTGCTGTCTCTGAGTGGGTCTTGCTGTGTCCACAGACACAGGCTCAGTCCGCAGTCTGCAGACAGGCGTGGGAGAGCTCCATGGGGAAACGCGCTTCTGGCATGGAAAGGACTACTGCAATTTCGTCTTCAAAGACTGGATCCAACTGGATAAACCCTTTGCTGGTGAGTCCGTGGTAGTGGATGGCTACTTATTTTTCTCTTTTTGCTTGTCAGCATCTAACAAGTATGCCAGTGCATGATCTAATGTCTTGTTTTTCTTTGAATATTTGCTAAAACTTTTAAAAATATTTGCTAAATCATAATTCAGTCATATAATTAAGGATTGCTTATAATTATAGTAAGGAAAAAAAACATGAAATAGAGCTTACTTGTTTCAAACCATCAGGTTTTATATAGGCATACTTTGGGGGTAATGACCTGTCATTCTCCAAAAGATGGCACAATCCCTTTGATCATCTCCTCTTCTGCTTATCATCTTCATTTTTATCATTAAAGTGACACATTTTTAGATTATCACTGTGCTTCTATGTCTAAGAGGAGATAGAGATGGCACTGCATATGTAGCCTGACATTATCTCAACAGGGTCAAACAGGAAAATACAAGGTCAAGTACACAGCCTTAGGTAATTTGTACCAGCTCACATCTTGCCTTGCCTAGTGACTATCTAACACTAAGAGAAGAGGAAACATATTTGGGGAGGTGCATGGGGGACTGTGATCTATGCTTCACTTGGTTATGAAGGTATTGCTCCACCCAAGCCAAGAAATATACACATACGTGGACATTACCACGTTCCCTTTGACTTATCATAGTGGGGTCAGCTCTGGGGGTCAGATGGCTTCTGTCCCTGGCACAGAAGTTAGTGACGATTCTTGCCTGGTGCACCTGGGCAGATTTCATAGACAGGTACTCCACCCCCCGGATGCCATGGCATGACATTGGCTCTGTGGTCCACGGGAAGGCGGCTCGTGATGTGGCACGTCACTTCATCCAGCGCTGGAACTTCACAAAGGTACATGGATGGTCTTATCACGGTTCAGTCCACATAGAGAGGCAGGCCTGGGAGAGGAGACACCTAGGGGGTTGGAAGAGGCCTGGGTGGCCACAGCTGTGCCAGTCATCTGCCGTCGGGTGCCTGGGAGTCAGAGCTCCTGAGTCTGTGGGCAAAAGGAAATGTTCCTGAACTTTCACATTACAGATAATTTAGAGCAGAGAGGAATAGATGCTACGATCAGGGCCAGTGGTTTTCACCCTTCAACATCTTGGCTGCTCAGTGTTGATTAAGCATCTGGCCTGGCTGGTGCTCACCCGGAAGGCTATTGAAGGGGAATGGGAGTCTTGTTTAGATGGCTGAGCTCAAACTTTCAAGTCTTTCCAATCCTGGCATTGCACTGGGTTCATATTGGAGAGGGGTTCTGAGCCAATGTAGCCATTTTGTTTTTATCCCAATTGTGTCTTCTTTAGTATGTCTTCATTACTCTTGGGAATTTGACCTAACGTTCATAAGTTAAGTGCCTATCATCCAGGTGTTATTTAGATTCCTTTTTATTTACTTTAAAAAGTGAGGAGACATTCATTATTCTTCCTGGTAATTTGGGAAAAGACTGTTTTATCAAAAAAATTACTGTTTATAATGCTATGTAAGTGAAAGCTTTAACCTACTAGGCAAGCAAAGATTTAAAAAAAAAAAAAAACCACACAGCTAATACCTACAATTGGGTTTTGAATTTTTGATGATCTTATACCCTGCTTCTGGGGGCTAAATTGGTACAGCACAAAAAACTTCTTAAAAGGTATATAACCTTTTGACTCAGAAAATCTTTTCCAGGCATTTAAGTTAAGGAAATAACCCAATTAACTAATTTATTTTCATATTGCTTCCAATAATTCAAATAAAATGAGAAGTAACTGAAATGCTTATTAATAGTAATCTATTAAACAAGTTATGCTCTTTCCATACCATTTGACACTGGAGTTATTTTAAAATGACATGTACTGCTATATTGCTATGGCAAGATATCTGCAACATAGTAAAATATCAGTTTACAAAAGAGTAACCCCCTTTTTGCAATTATATATCTCTATAACTCAATTATATTTAAGCTTCCTAAAGAATACATGCCTACTACAAAAGGTAAAAGAAATAAAAAAGGAGTTCTCCATCTCTGGGAAATAGAAAAAAACAACCAAAAATAATGTGTTACCTCTTCACCTAGAAACATCCACTGTTAACAATTTTTTCTGTTTCAAATAAACCTGAATTTCTTTTATAATCAAAATGTGGAAGAATGGAACTGTTTTCTAATTTGAAATTTTTTACCTTCTTTTTAATTATTGTAGATTATGAAACCAAAATATCGGTCCCTTTCTTATCCTTTTCTACTTCCGAAATCTCACACAACAGCCCATGAGTTGAAATACCAAGTGCCTGGGTCCGTCCGTGCTAACGTTCAGGTCAGTCTTGCTTTTCTTTATCACAAAGTGTTACTGGGCAAAATGGCTCCTTCTGGACTAAGTGCCTGTGGCATTGGTTTCATTCACATTTTTCAGTGAGGACAACTCCAATCTTCCCAGTACACTTTATAATTGTATACATTGTTCCCAGAGTTACATAGCATTAGGTCAGCATGTGTGGCATAAGAATCTTCAAGGTAGCCTGCATTTTCAGAGTTATGCACCCTCACAACAAAATTCAGCATACGTTTGAGTGGACTAAGAATTAAAACTTCTATTTGTTCAACCTTTGTTATTTCTACTAATGGACAATAATGCAGCTCTTTGGGGATGATGGAAAATCAAGATATTTCCCAGTGTGATCATATTTATCTAAATTTTCCTTACGAGTTTTCTTTTGAGATATTTGACTATTTCTGTTCACAATTATATTTTCCAATTTCATTGCACTGTTCATGTGATAAAATTAAATAAAGTGCTTTGCAGGGGGCTATTTTGTAATAAATGCCATACACTGAATAATGAAATAACGTTTTGAGGATGGCACAATCAATGATATTAGTAGGATTTAACTTTGAATTTCAGTAGATACAATTTTTTAAGTTATTGATTAGAGCAAGAATTGTACCAGATCTTTTATATACAGGGAAGGTAAAGTAGGTTTACAGTTGTTCATATGGGGGGGAAAAACCCATGCTAGTTAAATAAATAATAATACAAGAATAAACCCTATGTTTTGTGTACTCACAACTGTACCAGGTAAACCTACTTTTGCTGACCCCTTTATAACAGACAAAACTGGTTATGAATTGGATCATTATATATTCCTAATAAGTATAGGTTATTATTTTTCCTTCAATTTCTGTTGACCTCTTGAAGCAAAGCGTCAACATTCATTTCAAATCAGGAATAGTAAATCTATTTTCATACTGATGCTTATGTGATGTCCTGTTACTACTTAGGGAAGGTCAAATAACAAATGTTTATTGAGCACCTACTATATGCCCAACATTGCACTGCAATACTAGTTAGAATGCTGGCAGCCAGTGGTGTCTTAGTGTTGAAAAGCCTTCCCTGTCATGGAGTGTACCCTCCCATGCCCAGCCACAGTCTACTCGGCAGCATCGCTGACAGGCTCTGCCACCACTCAAACGCATCCTCTAATGTGCTCACTAGTGATAGCAAACAGTGACAGCACTTACTAGGTGCCAGGCCTCCTGCACACTCCACACTAATTCATTTAATTCTCTCCACCACCCTACAGAGTAGGTACTCCATTTTATAGAGTGGAAATCTGAGGCACAAAGCAGTTAAGAAACTTGACCAAGATCAAAGCCACTGAATGGCTGAGCTAAGCTTTGAACCTAGGCAGTCCTGCTCTGTGTCAATGCATTTAACACATACTCAGGTGTCTGCGCTGGAAGCTCTTATTGTAATCTGGGTGGGAGCAGGTGAGTGTCTGAATGCAGGGAGGCAGCAGGAGTGAGGAAGCTGAGAGCTGAAGTGACAGGGCCAGGATCAGACAGCTAATTAAAAGTAGAATCAAGATTAGATCTCTAAATGAATCTAATTGCTTTTTAGCGTATATTAATCTGAACAGTATATATTTGAGGGAAAAGGAGTAATCATATTATTATCAAGTCAGAGCTAGGGTGGCCATATTATATGGTTCATACCAGGACACTTTGGGGAGTGAAAGTAGCACTATTAATAAATACACCATAATACCAGGTACTCTGGTGAAATTGTGGAATTGTCCTGGAAAAGTACAAATGGGCATCCCACTCAGCCACCAGATGAGGTACTCCTGAAATATTCTTGATAGAAATGCCTTATGGTTTCCCATTTTGATTGACAGTTGTGTTGAGTGGGAGAAGAAATAGTCAGGACTTGGTTGCCAGCTGGGCTCCTTCGTTATGGGATACGTCCAAGGACCAGTACCCCATCCACCTACTCTCCCTTGACCCACACATGACACTCAAGCCATTGTATTCATTTAGTTGTTTAACAGCAAAAGGATTGACTTCATTGTATCAGTGCATCTGGCGTAATCTCCATTGTCTTATGTTTCGTCATTTCTGATTGCTGCCTCCTAGTTCTGCCCTCTGCTACTGATTGGTCTGCTGGGATAAAGTACCATGAAGAGTCCATCCACACTGCTTACGTCCACGTGATAGAGAACAGCAAGCACTATATCTATATAGAAGTAAGTCTTGCTCATGTAAATTGCTATGACAACCTGCCTTCCCATCAATACCACACAGAACCTGCAGGGTCCCTGAACTCAGGACCTCCTGTATTAAGTGTATGTTGAGTTGTGAAGAGGCCTTGGTCCACCTGAACTTTTACTTCCCCAGCACACCTGACATTTGTTTTGCATTTTCATTAACTCAGGACTCCAATAGGAGTCCTCAGATCCCTGTTATTAAATGTATCAACTCATTGTAATATTATTAGACAGGTATTCCCCAACATGGATGTATAAGTTTAGATTTGGCTGGAGTTGGAGGGGGAAGTGTGAGGCACGTACTGCTTCAGGGGAGCAGGCACAGGGGTAAGTTGCTAAAATAGATGCCGAAACCGGTTTGGCTCAGTGGATAGAGCGTCAGCCTGCGGACTGAAGGGTCCCGGGTTCGATTCCGGTCAAGGGCATGTACGTTGGTTGCGGGCACACCCCCAGTGGGAGATGTGCAGGAGGCAGCTGGTCGATGTTTCTCTCTCATTGATGTTCCTAACTCTCTATCCCTCTCTCTTCCTCTCTGTAAAAAATCAATAAAATATATTTTTAAAAAAATAATAAAATAAAATAAAATAAAAATAAAATAGAGACCCCTGGATGCCACTGGTTTGTGGATGTTGGCGTAGGAGAGTGCAGCAAAGGAACATGGAAAAGGAAGACGCAAAAATATTGAGGGCAGGTACCACGTTCCTCAGTCCTGTGTGAACAACTATTTATTACGAAGCTTTTGCAGATCCAAGAGTTTGTGTTCAAAGAATAGGAGGAAATCTAGGGGACACTGGGTTTACTCTGGGAACTTTACTAGCACTTCCTACTCCCTCCTAAGCTACCTCAGAGCACTTGGAAAATCCTGACAAAATAAAAAGTCATGACAATGCAACAATCAATCAGAGCACATCTCCCTCCTTTATTTGAATCTTTTCTTTTCCACTGAGTTTTGTAAAAATGTATGGAGGGAGATGCAGTAGCTGGAGAAAATCATTCTAGCCCTTTCTTCCTCCCCCTTGAGTTTTGGCCCTCTCCCCTTCCACCCAGTGACAATTTATTCAAGGCAAGTAGAAAAGAATTAGAGATTTATTTATTTCACAGACGTGGAGAAAGAGAAGACTGATTGAAAATATTGGCAGGCTGAATGCAATGTGGTATCCCGGATGGGATTGTGCAACAGAAAAAGGACATTACTGAATTCTGGATAAAGCCTGGAGTTTAGTAATACTGGTATGATTAGTGCAATTGACTTCAAAAAATTTTAACATAATAATGTGAGTTGTTAACCACTGGCTCACCCATTACCCAGAATCCTTTTGCTTTCTCTCTTTTTGGTAGCAGTAAGTCAGCTTTTCTCATTAGTGATACCCCAGTACTAAGTGAGATCAGTAATGCCATGACGATACTAGTACACATGGGTGCAGATAATAACCAGGTTGACACACCTCTAGGCAAGGTAAGCGGTCAGCATTCACCCTGCTCTCCCCAAAAAGAAGTAAGGACATGACAGGTGGCCAGTGTGTGTCACAGCTACTGAGCAATGCTAAGTTTCTCTGTAATATAAATTCAGAAAAACAAGCATGGTTTGGTTGCCACTGAGATTTTGATTGTTTGATGCCCTAAGACAGCGGTTCTCAACCTGTGGGTCGCGACCCCTGTGGCGGTCGAACGACCCTTTCACAGGGGTCGCCTAAGACAATCCTGCATATCAGATATTTACATGACGATTCATAACAGTAGCAACATTACAGTTATGAAGTAGCAACGAAAATAATTTTATGGTTGGATCACAACATGACAGTGATGGCGAACCTTTTGAGCTCGGCGTGTCAGCATTTTGAAAAACCCTAACTTAACTCTGGTGTCGTGTCACATATAGAAATTTTTTGATATTTGCAACCATAGTAACACAAAGACTTATATTTTTTATATTTATTTTATATATTTAAATGCCATTTAACAAAGAAAAATCAACCAAAAAAATGAGTTCACGTGTCACCTCTGACACATGTGTCATAGGTTCGCCATCATGAGAAACTTTATTTAAAGGGCCAGAAGGTTGAGAACCACTGCCCTAAGGGGAAACACATTCTCAAATGAGTTTCTGCACAGTGTTCTCTTGTAAATTTATCTTCTGGAGGCAGTTTACAGATTTAGGCACTTAAATGCATAAAACGTGTATAGTAATAAACATGATAATGTTGCAGAGGGATGATAATAATATATTGACTCATTGCTTATATATCTCTTTAAGATGATTAGCAAAGGTTACTTGGTGATGACTCTACTTTGTTATAGGTGTATTATAACAATGTATAAATAAAACATGTAATAGTGATAATATTTTTATTTAATTTTTTACATTCCTCTATGCAGCAACTAAATCTTTTATACCATTATAATAATGTTGTATCCTAGTTTTTTAGTAGTAGTATTGTAGAATGTTTTATAGATGCATAAATAAGAGAAGTACTTAAACAAAAAAGATATAACAATATTTCTCTTTCTATTTTATTGGTATACATACAAGAGATTTTAAGCTACTTAAAATAGAAGTTGAGGAATAATAAGAGACTCAAATAAATGATCTAAAGCCAAAGCATATACTAGTTAATAATGGAGAAAGGGTGGAGAAAATTAGATCATGGCTCTGCCATCTACCTGTTATAAAGTAGACTTGGCATAAGATAGAATGTCTGCTGACATAATTTTTTATTAAATTTATTAGGGTGACATTAGTTAGTAAAATTATATAGGTTTCAAGTGTATAATCTATAATAATAAAAGCATAATATGCTAATTAGACAGGATGACCTTCCGTATGAAGCTGGGGCTGCAAGGAAAGCCCGGGTCCTGGGTGCCAGAGGGAAGCCAGTGCCGGCAGCCGGGGGAAGGAAGGCCTACTCTTGCACGAATTTCGTGCATTGGGCCTCTAGTTCTATATAATACATCATTTGTATATTATATTGTGTGTTCACCACCCCAAGTCAAGTCTCCTTCTGTCACCATTTATCCTTCTTCACCCTCTTCTACCTCCCCCATCCCTTTTCCCCCTGGTAATCACCATATTGTGGTCTGTCTACGAGGTTTTTTGTTGTTGTTGTTTAATTCCTTCACCTTTATCACTCAGCTGCCCCTCTCCCTCCCCTCTGTCAGCTGTCAGTCTGTTCTCTGTATCTAGCCAAGATATAATTTTTAATCATAAGCATTTATACAATGTGTGAATCTGAAAAAAAAATTCGATGTTCGATGTCCCTTTAATTTGTAATGTTCCTGCCACTCTAAAAACATAACCTACAAGGAACGTGCATGATGAAATAATAGTTTAGCCATTCGCTCGACTAAGATGTTACACCTGTTCTTACCTGGGAATGTATAGGATCAGAGTGAGATGAGGTTTATTCTGTGGCCTACTTTCCTCAGGTGATTTCAGGGGTCAGAGCATGTCTGCTATGTGAAATGTGTGGTTTTTTTTTAAATATCAATGTAGAGTATGTTATCCACCACATTTCCATATATATATTAAGATATGAAAGACTTACATGGTTATCCTATTGATTTTCCATAGAACCAGTTCTTTATAAGCTGCGCGGATGACAAGGTTGTGTTCAACAAGATAGGCGACGCCATTGCCCAGAGGATCCTGAGAGCTTACAGGTACAGTGCTTGGCATTCCGGCAGGATGTGACTGCAGATCTTGCATTTACTGCTAAAAGGACTTTTGAAGGCCCATTTTTAAAAAACTGTCTTTTCCTAGCAGGCATGATTTAACTCAGCGAGCAGGAGGTTATTGATGCCTTAAGTCTGAGTCAGTGACCGAGAACTTTTGAGTCCGTTTTTTGAGGGAATGAGAATTCTCCCAGGGCACAGTCATTTTTTCCTGGCCGGTCTCTTTCCCACGCAGATTTGTGATCTGATTTTTTTTTAATAGCAGACAGTGAGCTGTGTTTACTTAAAAACCAAAACAAAATAGTTATAATGTTTTTCCGTGGGTTATATTTAAATTCTTGTTATCATCTGTCTTATTTCTTCGGCTCATGGGATTATTTCTTTAATAACACTTTTATTCAAATATAACTCACATGCCATACAACCTACCCACTTGAAGTCTACAATTCAGTGAATTTTAGGATTTTCACAGAGTTGTGCAACCACCACCTAATCAAATTTAGAATATTTCCATCACCCCAGGAAGAAACCTCATACCTTTGTCATTGCTCACTCCTTTTCCCATGAGCCCCTTGCAACCACTCATCTACTTTCTTTTCTGTAGACATGCCTGGTCTGGACATTTTATATAAATAGAATCATATAATATGCGTTCTTTTGTGACTGACTTCCTTCACTTAGCTTAATATTGTCAAGGTCCTTTATGTTATAGAATGTATCAGTATTTTATATAATTTGATTGTCAGGTAATATTCTGTTATCTGGACATACTACATTTTATTTATCCATTTTCAGTTGGTGGATAATTGGGTTGTTTTCACTTTTTGGTTATATAAATAATGCTGCTATAAACATTCTATACTAGTTTTTATGCAGATATGTTTTCATTACTCTAGGGATAGAACTGCTGGATTATATGGTGACTCTTAAACAAACAATTTGAGGACCTGCCAAGATGTTTTCAAAAGTGACTCTACCCTTTTACATTCCCACATTGTATGAGGGTCCAATTTCTCTACATCATTGCCAATACTGATTATCTGTCTTTTATTATTATTATTATAGCCATTCTTGTAGGTGTGAAATGGTATCTCATTGTGCTTTTGATTTGAATTTCCCTAATGACTTATGATGTTGAGTATTTTTTTCTGTTATTATTAGCCAGTTAAGAGTTATCTTTGGAGAAATGTCAAGTGAGATTCCTTGCCCGTGTTTCAGTGAGGTTGTCTCCTTGTTGAATTATTAAGAGTTCTTTATATATTCTGGATACAAGTATCATATCAGATTTATGATTTGCAAATATTTTCTACCACTCAGTGTGTTTTCTTTTTGCTTTCCTGATAGTATCCTTTGAAACACACACACACAAGATTAATTTTGGTAAAGTCCAATTTATCTATTTTTTTTATTGCTTTGGTATCAGAGCTCCAAAACCAATGCCCAATCCAGGACCATGAGTCTTTACTGCTCTTCTTTTCTAAGAATTTTATAGTTTTAGCTCTAACATTGAGGTCTTTGATCCATTTTGTGTTACTTTTTGTACATGGTGGGAGGTAGAGGTTCAGTTTTATTCTTTTGCATGTGGGTATCCAGTTGTTTCAGCACCATTTGTGGAAAAGCCTATTCTTTCCACCACTGAATTATCTTGGCCCCCAGATCTATTTCTCACTATGGCTGGCTTTAGCTCTGTGTGAAAACAGCAAAACAAACAAACAAAACCATTCCATTTTTTTCACTTCAATTCATTGAACAGTGGAGAATGTTAAATACATACCCATTTGGGGCTTAAAACATTTTTTGACTTCCAGTGGTACTTATTATATTTTTTTCACATAACATATGAAGATTTTTAGACCTAAGAACATTTAGTAACAGTAACTACCAGCATTTTAAGTGGTTAATAACAGTTTATTTATACAGACTCTTATAGAATCTTCACAACTACTTTTGAAAGTAGATTATACAGGTTTTGTTGCTATTATTATTGTTGTTGTTGTCGAACCTGTTTTTAGAATTAATAAATGTGACTTGTCTAGGCTTCTAACAACAATAGGCAAAAAAAGGTTTTGAGCTCAACTCCTACCAATGCTTTCCCCACATCATGTAACTCTAATTCATTGATGGCTAGGATTAAGGACCCCTTTCATAGTTGCCCCAAATTAAGGAAAGAAGGTTGGGCCTTTGTTTTCCCCTCCTCCCATTAACCGGTTATTACATGCGGGCTGACTAGGGGAGAAGGGCATGGCCATGGGTGAAGCATGGCCTATGGTGGACAATTCTTGGAGAAAGATTTCCCTGTGAGTAGTCAGTGTCCAACACAGTGGCTGAGGGAATGGTTGTCTCTATCCCACGGGGAGAGCATCTGCGCAGTGCACCAGCACCATAAAACCTACCCCATCCTGCAGGGTGTACAGTGGGTCCCAGCCTTTACTACACATCAGAATCACCAGAGGACCTTTCCAGAAATATAGAGAGCTGGACTCAACTCTAGGCTGAATGGATTTAACTTCCTGGAGTAGGGCCCAGGCACCTATACTTTATACTAGTAATGTTCAATAGGTAACTCTAGGGCAAAGCCAAGATTGCTTAGTGCTTATCTAGAACAGGGTATATGGTCATAGATATAAATAATGGTCTGTGCTTTTACAGGTGACCTTTGTCCTTTGCTTTCCCACATACTTTTTAAAAGAAAGTCACCATAGGACCTATTTCTGAGATGACTTTTTAAAAAAAAAGTCTTGCATTCTTGCCAGCCCTCCAATTCTATGGGTCAATTTATATCATATTTTCAAAATTACATTATATATCTGTCAACTCTTGCATTTCATGATGCAGGGCTGTCCATTTTATCTAGAAAGCGCATTTGACAAAAAGGAAAAATGATTTTCTCATGAAATTGGAAGGAGTCACATTAAGTTGACAAGTGAGCTCATTGGGCTGAGTAGGGAGTCATGAATTTTGGAGATGTGAGCAGGTCATAAGGAGAGTAGCTGTGCGCCCTCAGTCTCCACTTCACTCATCCCAGTTATTAGTTCCCTAGAGTGCATGGTCTCATAAGTACCTGTAAGATTTCTTCTTAAGTGTTCGGGAGCCTGGAAAAATATTGTTCCTTCATGTATTGCTCTGTCTTTAAAAATCTGGACTACTTCTAAAATCATAGCATTTATGGCTGGAAGGAACCTTAAGCTACTTTCTGATTGAATATTTCCTGGTGAGACTATGGGCTGCTTCTGAAAGGAAAAGGAATCCAAGAGAGCATGGACAGGTAGCTTCTGTTGCAGGTCATGTCACAGGCTTTGAGGTTCACGGAGCGCATTCAAGACTGGCAATTTCCCCTACCCGGGTAGCTCAGCTAGTTAGAGTGTCGTCCCAATATGCCAAGGTTGTAGGTTCGATTCTCGGTCAGGTCACATACAAGAATCAACCAATGAATGCATAAATAAGTGGAACAACAATCAATGTCTCTCTATAAACAAACAAACAAATAAATCTTAAATAAAATAACAAAGACTGGCAATTTCAAGTTTACTTTGTAGACAATAGAAAACAAGCCGATCAAATTTCAAATTAGCTGTGGGTCCTTTACCTCTGATATCTCCAGCCTCACTTTTTTTGACAGTCACATCTCAAAATGGTATGTCTATCACACTTTCAAAGTTTTAGTCGATTTACACACATATTCTGGAAATATATTTTACATTTTATCCTTCTCTGTATCTCCACATTATTGTTCATCTCCTGTGTTAATTGCACCTATAAAAATATTTCCATTTAATAATATCAAATCTGTGAGCTTGTATACTTAGGGAAGGTAGAAGTGAGAAGCTCATCTTGCAGGCTCCCTGCAGTGGGGCCCTCCTTTCCACTGAGGGCCAGGACGGTGCCACCCCACGCTTTCCCTTCCCCCTCTGCTCATTGGCTTCTCTGCTCTCCACTCTTCTGAGACTCAGAGCTTCCTTGCCAAAGTCACGTGCCTAGCAACAGTATAATTTTGGCTGTTGGAAAAAGAATAGAACATAGCGCAAAGCAGATGGAGGGAAATGACAGGCAGCATTTGGCCAGCCTGACCGAGGAACACGGGCTGTCTTCCAGGTCCCTCCCACCCTCGAGAGAAGGAGTCTTTAAATTGCCAACTCCCTCCTTAGGGCTGCGCCTTCGTATTTCTACCGGTGCTGGAATCCAGCCCCACCCCAGTTCCCCGAAGTGTGTTCACTGCTTCCCTCACTTACTCCTGGTTCCTTCTCAACAGCCATAATTCTTTACAGAAACAGGTCTTCACAGAACTTTCATGTTCTGACCCATGACCTAGAGTCTAAGAATATTGTCCATCATGTGCTGAGCTAAGAATAGCTGTGGGAATCTGCAGAAAGCGAAAAGGTCTGCTCTAATGCGAACTAGTAAAACTGTCTCAGAGTTGAGACCAGCTCCCAACCCACTTGCAGCCTGTCTTTGACAACTCAAATCCGACCAGAGATCAGGGAGAAGAAATTGATAAGTTTATGCCCTGTTTGAATAAGCCAAAAGATGGAATAGAACCAACGGATACAGGTAGGGAACATTTTAAAACAGTGGGTGCCGTAAGTGAATGCTTTATGAGGATGAAGCCATCTTGTTTATGGAAACTGGTAAAAAGTCAGAAAGTAAGAGAGCGAGTGCATTTTGCACAAAGTTGACACATGCAATGAAAAGGGGAAGTTGATTTAATACCTCTGTACATTAATATTAAGCCGCATTGAAAAATACAACATTAAAGTAGATTGAAAAATACACAATTTTGAAAACTTCTCCAACTCTCCGTGCTTCCTGTAACTATAGACAGTGCCTGATAGTGATTGCACTTTGCCCAGGAGTGGGTGGTGTGGGGAACATTCCTCTGGGAATCTGAAATTGGGAACAGGTATCGAGAGACCTGGGTTCTTTCCAACTCTGTTACCTATAGGTATGTGACCTTTTGAGTGTATCAATTTGCCTTTCTGATACTGCTTTTT